CAAGCATGAGTATCTGCAATCACCATATTGATACAGTACACATTGTTTCGAGATGAGACCTTTAAAAAAAAGTCATAATGATTTCCTACTCAAATTGAGCAGTGGGGAAATGCCCATCTCCTGTATACAACCCTGAGTCAGTGGCGGAAATTCCACATTTTCTATGACAGGGGCAAATCAATCCATTGAGACTACCATTATTGACTTCTCCACAAAATAGTAGTGATTTTCTTGACTGTGGAGGGATGATGGGCTGAGCTATATATTTTTTTACCAAACCTAACTTTTTATTTTCACACAATAAAGGTAGGTTCTTGTCCAAAGTTAAGCGTGGGAAATATCGCAAAGGGACTTGATTGAAGAAATGTAAACGAGCCACAGAGTGTACCTCCTTGAATTAACGCAGCCGGCAAACTGTACGGTAGATTTAAAAATTAAGATTTTCTCAGGAAAAAAAAGGGGGGTGGAATTTGCGTGGGATGGGCTGAATTCTCCACTAGAGGCTCCATGGCACTGGATAGCCTTCGCAGACGCCACGGGGCTGGCACTGACAGAGCAGGAATGTCGCAAGCGTGAAAGTGGCTCAGCCGTGCCAGAGAAACAGAAGCCGCTGAAAACACCTGCATTTTAAATCACGAGAAGTATTTCATTAAATACGTAAGGGAAATGAAGATAATCATAATTCAGACATTACATGCAGTAAAATGGATCACACGCAATTACAAAGTAGAGTTGTATGTATGTATTATTTCACTTAAAATTTTGGTCATAAGCTCCAACTTACATTGAACTGAAAGTTAGTTTTAATGTTGACGTGTTAAGGGCAACGTGCAGTGCGGGATTGGTGGGGTAATAACATCTAAAAAGGACATGTATACGTCACTACGTTAATTTCAACCTTACATATAGTTTTAACATTGTTACAGAGTTTTTTTTTATTGTGATTTAATCATCGTAGGACCATGACAAAGACACGTACGAACACGTGCGCGCAAACGTGGTGGCTTTAAGTTTTTAGGTAAACTTGGTGGCAGGCATTTTAATTTTTTTTTTCATAATTCATGACGAAATGCTTGTGAATTGGCGGCCAAAACATTTAAAAAGGGTTTTGAATCTGGAGGGCTGGTTGAAAAATGAAGGTCATCTCATGCTGTGATGACTCTGCAACGAAACAGTAGGACATTAGGGGCAGCCAACAGAAATGTGCATTAGTTAAAAAAAATTGCACAACTTCATAAGCCAGCATAAATATAACTTTGATAAATGCTTACCAGACATAAAAACTTTTACAAACTGGCGATTTCCAAAAAGAACATTAAATGCCGCTGTGAAACGTTACCAATGTTTGTATTCGTGCTGAGACGCACTGTTTTATAAACCTGGCAATCGGAGTTCGATGCCTGGCCACGGCTAACATCGGTGGCCGGTTAAAGATCCAAACCAATCTTGGGACCCCCCTCTTCACCAACCCGCACTCAGCAGTTTGGTGAAGCATCGTCAAACAGCTCCCATGACCAACAAGGTTTGTGTAATTATCTAAATCAAAACAAGGCTCAGGATTAAAGGACACGGTCCAAAGCAAAACAAACACAACGCGTAATGAAATTAAAACACCAGCACAGAATTCCGCAAAGACGACAGCTCATCCAATGCCAATTTATACGTACAGTAGTAGTAGTCAGGGTACGAAAGCTTTAAGTCAAGATTTAATTCAAGAGATGATAAAAAAAACAAATGCATTGTGTTAAAATTGCCCAGAGATAATTGTATCTCTTTCTCCACGTACTATGCCTGTCCCCTGCTTCGGAACAATTTGTTGACGGTGTCCCCAAAATGTGGAGGTATGACGAAATGTGTCCTCACTAAAACAATCCTCCACAGAGGATAACGAATGACTTGGTAACCTCGATATACACATACGCCTCTCGTTTTACCTTGCCATACGAAAGAAGACCAAAACAATAGCCCACTCATGCCACCCTGACGGTCTCGAGATTTCTCTGACGCAATCTCATTCACCTTGTTTGCCACCATGTGACCTCTCTTGGTTCCCAAAGCAAGAATGATCTCTGAAAGTTCGTTCTGGAGACAGAGGACAACACATCGAAAGTGATGAAGGCAACTTAAACACAGCTCAACAGCTGTCGACTCCCAGGGACAGCTTCCGGAAACCATTCAATTCCTGGCATCAATGAAATCATCATCATCCACTTTGATCTATCTACTGCTGGATTAAGGCCTCCTTATGCCGACGTCTTCCCGCACGGGTTTAGAATGCCACAATCCATCTTGCTCGTGCATGCGACTGATCTCCCTGCTCCGTCCCTGCAGTGAATGTTCTTCTTTGGTGCGTTTCCTCTTTTGGCCACGATTTTGCCAGCAGTCTCATCATCCCTCTGAGCGATGTGTGCAGCTCAAGCCCACTTTGCTTCAAAGACAAATACGATGTCCATAATTTGCATTTGTTCTTGGATCCAGTTGATTTCTGTGTCCATGTTTCTGATCCATAGGTCATATCAGCAGTAATATGAACTAATAGAACACTTTTCTCTATGGAGACTTTTCATTGTTAAGTCAAACTTTCCAAAAGCGTTCTCGCCTGCTCTTCGTTGTTGCCGACCCTGTCCCTACTGGACGTCTGTGAAAAAGAGCTTCAGAGCTCATCGGATTCCTCCAGGATAAATGCAGATTCTGAGTGTCTTTAACTCATCGTTTTGATCCCAATCCACCTTCAATAGTCACACTATGCATAGTCTAGCACTGAAGTGAAAGAAGGATCCTATCCCGGCTTCTGGTTGAGGACACTCCGAGGTGCAGGTACCTCCTCCGCAAATTGGGAATTGGGGAGTTGCCAAATTGCGACTTCAAGTGCCACCGATCCCCCGCACCACACGACGTCGTGTTATCCGGCTCTCCGAGCCTGCGCATCTCTCAGAGTCCACGCGTCACACGATGCGAGTGACGGGTGTAATCCATCACTCACAAACACCAACCAGTGCGCAGTGCACGCTTTTCTTTTGTTTACAGGAGGTGCAAATCCAACCCCCATCTGGGAGAAGGCCTCCGGACGTAATTGAACGGCTCCCCAAACTCGACACACGCGCTTACAAATGCGGCTTCTGTTGCTTCTCAAATGCCACCACGCGAAAATAAGAATGGTGTGAAATTTTGACCACATCGAAGCGGGGGGCGGGACCCATAAATTACAAACTCGTAACCGAATTATTAACGGACGCAACTTGTTTTTGTCACTTGCCCTTGCACGCCTTTGGTGGTGTGCGTTGGAAGACTTCGGCAGACACCGCTGGGAGGAATAGGGAGGAGAGCGAGCGCCGCAGTACAGCCGGGGAAAGAAGTAAAACAAGTCAGGAATTTACTGAACTCCCCCTACCACCACCGCTGTTATCATGCGCGCCTGCACAGTAACGCAACACAGCGTGGGTGTAAATTGAGCGCCCAATAATTCACGCGGACCACGAGCGTTCGCTTAAATGAACGATCCCCGCCACATCATCCCACCTGAAGGAGCCCCCCCCCCCCTCCCTTTGCCAGCATCGTTTGCAGCGGTCGCGACAACGTGGCCACTCGTTTCGGGGCCGAGTTTGACCCGGCGAAGGTGCCTCACAGCCATCAGCGGAACCTCAAATTGGCCGTGAGCAAGAGAGCATCGGGATGAGGGGGGCAAGGCGTTCCTTGCGACTCACGCACGCTATCTAAATAAATAAAGACCTTCGTCTGGACGTCTGAAAAAAAAACTCGAGGTTAAACTTCTCGGCAAGGTAGAAAGCTGAAATTTGGTACATAGGTAGCTTTTAGGACACAAACGACAGAAAAAAAATCTGGAAATCCGAGATTTTTTATTTTAAGCCCCCCAAATCTCGATTTTAAGTGCCCCATAAACATGTTTGTGCGCGTCATTCATAAACCGTTCAAAATATAAGATTGCGGGGTTTTTCGTTTGATAGAGCGTTAAACAGAAAATAGGTATTTCTGATTAAAGTGGATTTGAACTAAACGCATTTTGTGATGTTCAAATCTGAATTATTATTTTTTTAAGAGTAGTTGTTAAGTGTCTGATCGTACAATTGTAAAAAAATCACATCAGGTAAATTTTTACATCCATTGAAAATATTTGCCTGGCGAAGATAGGCTTCATGAACTATTATGTTATAAACAGGTTTACAATTAACTTCCACGGGGTCAAAACTGAAGAGACGATTAGCTTCACGTCTCCATGCAAGCCATCTGAAGCGTCACCACCGCTGCAATTTACAACACCGGTTGTACATAATTTCAATGATCGAATACAATATGTATGGCAACTTATTAATGATTATTTTGTATAGCTTACATTATTCTAATTTAATACAACGGTGCGCATACGCTGTTAAAACATTTATACAGTTGATTGCTTACAATGTACACATACAGCTCCTTCTCATCTTTCATCCAGTATTAAAAAAAATAATTTGAGGCTTTTTGATTTAAAGCTTTCGTGACTGCAGTAATCCATATTCTTAGCTCTTTCGGTAAAGTCACGTTAAAGGGAAACAATAAAATATATATAAAACAATAAAAAAAAGTATCACGACGTTTCGACCATAACACAAATGGTCATCATCAGGTGTGAAAAGCACTTCTTTCAAATGTTTCTTGCCGTTGCTTTTCACACCTGATGATGACCGTTTGTGTTATGGTCGAAACGTCGTGAGAATTTTTTTAATTTCTATTCTTAGCTCTTTCGGTAAAGTCACGTTGAAGGGAAACAATAAAATAATAAAATATATAAAACAAGAAAAATTCTCACGTTTCGACCATAACACAAACGGTCGTCATCAGGTGTAAATCAATTTTTAATTGTTGTATATATTTTATTATTTTATTGTTTCCCTTTAACGTGACTTTAAAGAAAGAACTAAGTATATAATTTGGGGCTGTAAAAAAATCAATTTACAATCAAGATCGCCAATGCGCTCAAAAACCAAAAGGAAATGTGCACGTAGTGTAAAGTAGTGTTTTATTGGCAGTGCAGTACAGTAAAACCGTTAATGTAATTATATCATACAATAAAAATATACAAAGACCACACGTGGCAATGCTGCTGCAGTACGAGGGCCTTGCGAAAGGCGCCTTGAGAGCAGAATTAACAACAATATAAGGGACCTCAAAAGCAGGCCAAGACAAACATCAAAAGACGCCTGGTGACTGACTGCTTGTTGTAAATTTGGACTAATATATAATCCGACTGTGCGGCCATGGAGCAGAACAATCGCATATGTAAAAAAAAAACCTCTTCCGTGGAATTTTCGACTAAACTCAAGCGCTCTCTCTCAGAGCACAATTTTGTTTGTGGGACAGAATCCACTGGCGGTTTGAAGTCTCTGCCGAGGGACGGGGCACAATTTGGATGCGGGTGAGAAATTAAAAATGCTTTTTCGTTCCCGGTAGATCAACAATGGGGTGGCTTTAAATCCACCGCCGCCGAGACGGGTGAGAGATACCGCAAAGCCTAAAAACCCGGCGGGCAGAGACGATGCATGCCCGACGGAGAACGACAGCGGAGAAGCATAACAAAGGTACAATGGAGGAGGCCACCGGGATCATCTGACTCAGTCCTTCGTTTTTCTTTCTCACAAACCCACTTCTGGCCCTCCCACTATTATTCCCACAAGTCACGTAACGCGTTTCCACTGAAAATTACTCTCCACTCCCGCCCCCGCCAGGCACCTTATTCACCGAGTTCATGGCCAAGTGAAGTGACAAAGTAAAACCAGGGGGGAACCGTTGCCTTAAGAACACATGTGAAGAAAAGGAAACAACTTCCATTTTGCAAATAACTTCATAAGCTATAGCCGTGAAGAAGAAAAAAACCTGCCAAATGAAAGCTTTAAAAACGTAACTTTCGCTCTCATCACGACGAGATCAATTGGTTACCATTCGGGATTGCCATTTGAGTCACGACCGGATTGTTTTTTTTGGCGAATATAGCAGCCTCCAGTGGAATAGCAGAAATCACACGACCCCCACTGCATAAAATGTATTACAAATCGAACATAAACTAATCGTATCTGATTAATCTGATACTTATGTAACTTCTAAATCAAATTTATTTCAGTAAAACTTTCGAACTGTGCTGCATTACCTGCCAAGCACCAAAAGCATTGTGATAATCAAATGTTGTATTTAATTTCCTCAGGCAATCTTTCAAAGTCCCTTATATCGGCGTTAACTCCATAAATAACACATTGCTTGCTCTTCTGTGGAGGTGTGAACGTGAACGCAGAACGTAAAATCAACATTTTACAGAGCTGAACAATTGCACCCAGAGAAATCGTCCACATCCAAGGGCACGGGGCGGGGGGCACCCCGAACGCCACCCCCACCACGAGCGAGGAAGCCCACCACTCGCATTGTACACAACTCTTGGGGTATGGCGCCATTGAAAACACTGAACAATAACTTCAAGCAGACTTAGCTGCTCGGAGGTTTAATATCATTGCGCAGCTACTCAGGCGGTTAGAAATGCCACACGTGTATTCAATGTAACAGTTGTCCATTGCTATAGTTCATCGAACAAAAAATACAGTACTTGCTATATAACTATCATATTTTTTTTAAAAAGCCTTGTAAATTGATATTTGTGTCTGCTTGTATTAACAGAAAAACTCCAGCCTCTGAATTTGTATGAGTTTTTTTCACGCTAATTAAAAATAATAATTAACTTTTAACTCGCATACAAAGTTCCATGCACTTATGTAAAGTTGGTAATTGCGTTAAATTAGGTTGACAGTTTTTGTCCACTCCTTTTAGCCCATCCCACAATCCATTGTTCACAAAATGTAACACGTGATTAAAAAATAATCTATGTAAGGAAAAACCTTTAAACGGAATTTAACAGCAAAAAAAACAATCAAGGAAAAAATTATATCAATAGTTAAAAATATTTCGATATACAGAATTACTGATGTTAACATTCCGAAATATGCAGCCATAATAAGTATAGGGTATGTTTTGACCTGCACGCAACAAACATTAAAAAAATAAACATTTCCGATACTCACCAGGACCGAGTCGGGGTTAAATTCATAGCCACCGTTTTAGCCATTAGACATCTTTAAATCCACCCACCCCAACAGGCATGTGGCAAAATAACAAAGTATTCCATTAACACGAAAGGGCACATTGACTCGTGTGGATACATTTAAATGCAATTTTGTGGACCAGTGGTTCACGATTAATGGACTCTGACACACACGCTGGGACCACACCTCGACCAAAGCGCGTCAGAGCAAACCCCCTTGCTACAGAAGCACGACAGACTGCTGCAAAGTGATGTTATGTACCAGGAGCATTTAGTTCGTAATTGTTTTGTATCGATTAAAACATGAATCGTGTAAACCAAGAAAATAACCAAGAAACAAAATTAATCCTGCAGTTCTCCACAATGCGTCTCTCACCGACGACAGCGACAGATTTCACAAATGCTGCGTCGAGGGTCTTTGTTGTGTTCACCGATTGACGCCGCTTCACATCGTTGCATAACACTAAGCGAAAACTACACGCCACTTGTCAGTTCATTTATACTCACTATATACTGTACATTGCATACCATAACATTAGCACCAGAGGCTGCATAACGTGATTGTCGATCAACATTCTATGGCGGGCCTCCTGCTTATAAAGACCGCACGCGCGTGCGCACACACACACACACAGACAGGGGCAAGGACACAAGACTCATCCGCAAATGGTAAGTGCACAGCAGTATTGAAGAGATTTGACCATCCGAGGCAATTAGTAGTGTGCAGAGCCGAGGCACAGAAAGATGAACTTCGGCGGCGTGGATGTGAAATCAAACTCTAAGGGCGAGACCGGCTGATGACGCAGGCACACTCGCACTCACTGTTGCTCGCACACTCCACCTTGCTGGTTAAAGAAATCCACAAAGGACGGGTGCCTCCCGCAAAAACAACGACGCCGGGCTGATCGCTCGCGAAGTGTGTGTGTGTATAAACCGGCCAAACACAGCTCGGAGGGAGAAGCAATGGACACAACCGTCAAAGATCACCAGTGACGGTGGTCACTGCGCGTTTTGTTGCCAATGCACCGCTAACAGCTGCTGGGTGCAGAAAGTTGCCGGGCATCTACGACAGATGACAGTCCATCGAGAATTCCCAATGACAGTTGTGTAACGTTACTGGGCTTCACCCTGTCAAAACGGCCTCAGGCTTCCGCAACATTCCATGGCATCTGTACAGCGCTAATTGCGCTTAAACACAAGTCCAAAAGGTAATGCTACAGCCATGCGGCAAACGAACGGGAAATCTGTTCTATTCGTAAAGCAAATTCATTAACGTCGTTAGATATAACCTCTCAGGACAAAAGAAAAATGCACGTTCCCCTTGACCAAATTTCATCCGTCTTTTGCTGATGCAGAAAATGTGAAAGTGAAGCAACAAAAACACTGCTCATACATTACCTGAATACAAATAAGAAATGCTTCTATGGAAATGTTGCCTTAATTAAAAACATAAAATGTTCTGCGATGTGCTGTTTTGGGTTGTGCCGCGCAGCGTTTCGGCACGGCGCCCGACATTTTAGCTCCCAGCACTGAATTTCAGTTCCTGAAAATGCCCCCCCCCCACTCCCCCACAGCACGTTGGGGACGAAACGTCGGACAAGGCGCCAAGCGGCGCGTCACGGCACAACCCAAAAAAATGCCATCGGACATCTACACAGCACTACCACGTGTAGGTTGACCCGGTAGTACAGACGTTTTTGTGAAGGTAGTGATTTCTGCCTCTGCGCGACTCCACCACTGCACCCCGCCACCGACACCGTGGTTGGGGGGCTCCTCGCGGCCACCCCCCCCCCCGCCCCCCCCCCCCCCCCCCCGGGACCTCCGTCCGTCCTCAGGCCCAGCCGCCGGTCAGCTTGTGAAAGAGCTCCTCGTCCAGCGCCTCGTTCTGGTCCTTGGCGCGCGTCGACAGGAAGATGTAGCCTCCGATGAACTCGTGAACGACCTTGCAGTCGGCGTCCGAGCAGTGGAACGCGATCTGCATCTCGTCGTCGAACTCCACGGCCACCTAGGGGCGGGGGCGGGGGCGGGGGGCGGGGTGCAGAGACGTCGCCGTCGGTGCCAGCGCCGAAACCGCGACGGCGGTGGTGGCGCCCCCGTCTGGGGGGGGGCGGTGGCGCCCCCCCCGGACGGGGGCATCAGCTGCCAGTAGCGGCGCAAGTGCAGACCGGCTAGCGAAACTAAAATCGGCAGATGCACTAGCGGCAGCGTTAGCAGCGGATACAGACACAAACAGGACAAGCTGCCACGCGTTAGTCCATTAATGAATTCCGTGTTTCTCAACTCCACACCTGGCAACCCCTCCCTCCCCCCAGAGTGCACCTTTAGGCGATCACCAATCTTGTCCGTGCATATCGAGGTTATGCCTCTGCACACCGCGTGCGCCCGATGGCTGTACGCATGCACGGCGAGCCTCGTTCGCATCGTACGTAGCCAACCGTGCTATCCGGAAGTAACGCAATCACGGAAAGCTGTGCCGTTAGCGGTCGCGCGGATCGGAGTTGAGGAACGCTGGACTTAGGTGTCCTGCATTTAGTGAGGGGATTCAACTTGTACAGATACGTGCACATTAACACACACGTACAGACATACAGAGGGATGCACGCATTAGGTGCACATGCTTAAACCCACTCACCCAAGTTAAGCTTGCTAATAGTGCTGGTACCCAGTGAGGTGTTGTAAAATAAAAAAAAATGTTTTCTGAGTATTGTCAATATTTCACTATCATTATTATTACTTAATTATGCTTGTCTACCCAGGAAAGCCTCACAGAGTCTCACGACTCCTCTTTTGGGAGATTCCTGGCAAGTTTTTACTCGGAGGGGGCGATGTTTACAATGTTACTCAGTAACCATTCAAATAGACAACATACCGCGGTATTCATCAGGGCTGCCACTCAAACCGAACCGCGGACCTCTGCAAACAAGCGGCGAATGAGCAACCAGCTGGGTCCCGGCCACTGCTAAATCTTGCCCAAAAAGAATTCACATTTGGACATGGACAGTCGTAAGATGGGTAAGCAAGTGTGTCAAGCGTGGTAAGTTCCGTACCAATTGCTCCATGGACCGATTGTGTCCTTTTATTGAAAACATGTGAAGTGTTCTCAGTTGGACAGCCTGAAGATCATAAAACCTTCCAGGCATAGCGATAAGTCGCCTAAAGAGGTCCCTTGGTAAAATGAGACATGTGGTCTTGCTTTGTTGTAACATCTTACAAACAGTTAATTGCTTTGGGCATAACCACTGGTACGTATACGTCTTTATATATTTCTCCCATGTACAAAATGTCACAAGAACAAGTCTTACGGACGGTATTGGATTCCTTGCCTTGAGGCAAAAGAAACGAGACATGGAAAGAAAAAACTGCTTTGTTTGATCAGCCCGTGCCTGGTGGTCCCCGTGATATTGATTTTGCCTGCCCTGCAAGTCCCTCCTGTGAAATGTAATGCCCTTCCAATGGATTTATTTGCATGAAAGTAACAGATTGTATTGCCTTACAAGGGCCAGCGAAAGTACACATTGGCAGAAAAAGGCTAAGATACCGAGACCTATGTCTCTCTCACATGACACACACACACACACAGGTAAATGGCTAGAGGTGCGGCCCTGCAATTCCTTGCTGGTACCACTGCTGGTGGAAGATTCTTGGAGTGTATCTTGGTCTAACGCTTCCATGCAGGCCTGACATCTTGGACGAGATCTGAGCGCGTGGTGGGGTACAATACCCGCATTGTACCTCGCAACGCACGACCTGCCTCACCCACTGCGTTCGATCTGTCTCCACTGCTGGGCACAGGTGCGACGGGGGTGACTGAAGAAACCTGCCCATTGTTTTAACTACTGCATTGATAAGTCATACAGCCGTAGATGTGACCAGTTGCCAACACCCTGATTATGTGGCCATTGTTCAAAATCAACATACATTCCTACATCAATTGGATTAACTGGCTAATGATTAATCCAGAGCGTTCATTGCCCAGATGAACTATTAACTTCTTCTTGGTTCTTTCGGTAAAGTCACGTAGAAGGGAAATAATCAAATAATAAAAAATAATAAAATAAAATTCTCACGACGTTTCGGCCACAACACAAGCAGCCGTCCTCAGGTGAAGAAACAGAGCTGTCAGGAAGACAGCGCTCCAATGAACACCGCTAAACTTGGCAGCGTCTTTTTTTGCCAGTCATGAGATACTGTGTTTCTCTGCAAGCAAGTGTGCTTAAGCACGTGCTTTGTCCTTAGAACTTTAATGCAGGCAGGTGATCCCTCACCAGAGTTGGGCAAAGAATGACCAACTCTAGCAGAGGTCAAGGGCCCCTGCAACATCCACAGGGCGAGGGCAAGCTCGCACAGAGTGCCCCGGCAAAAAGGTTCGGCAGGAATCAGGCGCGAGTCCAACGCCAGACTCGTAAGCAAGGGCGCCGGACCTCACCTTCCAAACAGCTCTACGTCGTGCTTTGTACTGCGTACTATTGGGCACGACGTCCGACGTTTCGGCGCACGTGCTGATAGCGACTCCAAGAAGTGATCCGAGCATCTCGCTATCTGCCCCACGGCCCAGCGGTAGGTTGCGCCGCCGCTTGTTGCGGAGGTTCGTGGTCACCCCCCCCGCCCCCCCCCCCCCCCCCCCCCCCCCCCCCCCCGCGATGAATACTGCTACGTGCATTCGTGGTAACAAACACGAGGGCGGAAGTGCGCGTCGTCAGCTTCCCGTGGTGGAAGTCATTCACAAGACTACGCCATCGTGTGTCGGCGTCATCGTCCACAGTTGCCAAATTTGGATCAATTGGACCCCAAAATGGCTCAATTGGTTTATAAATAGCAATCACCGGGCCACCCTGGTCTGAAAAAAACCTTGCCAGGACCCTCCTTGGTAAAAAAAAGGTGAAAGAAATAGACAATATCAATGAAATGGACAGGACAAAGGACAGAGTTACAAACGAAACTCACAGAATAAATGAGAAGCAGACAATATAAACGAGACGACCAATAAAACAGTATAAGAGATAGGAATGATGAAAGTTTGACAACCTATATGACACAGGCAGCACATGAGAGACAGAACAAACGATAGGAACAATATAAACCTGACATATACAATATATATTTAAAAAATAACAAAGATGTTTTAATTGAATCGCGACAAGTCATGGAGTCGCTTGGGAGGTGTGGCATTGTATTTGTTGTAGTTCGAATGGCAAGCCATGGAGACTATCCTCGGCAGGCGTACGCGCTACGGGGTGCCTCACCTGCCGGACCTCCCAGTTCACATTCCACTGCTTCATGTTGCTGAAGCGGTAGGTCTTGATGGCATCACCCGTGGACAGGTCCATGCGGATGAGCCGGTTGTAGGCGATGCCCATCATCTCTTCTTTCTTGGCACCGCGGAATCTGGGTGGCAACACAGAACAGGACCACACGAAAACCCAGGTGACGAAAAAGGAGAATCACGAACGTAGCTTCCAATAATAACTATCTACATGTGGAGTATACTCTTTGGTTCTATTCGGTAAAGTCACGTAGGTGACTTCTTGGTTCTTTACCAACGCTGTCCTCTGGGCAGGTTGGTCCCTTCACCTGATGAAGGCCACTTGTGTTGTGGCCGAAACGTCGTGATTTTTGTTTATTTTTTACCTATGTGACTTTACCGAATAGAACCAAAGAGTATAGATCCTTGCAGTCACGAAAGCTTCAAATCTACGTGTGGAGTGACTGTGATCTCGGGTGGGAGTGAAAATCCAAAAAGAACAGAGCAATGCCTCATATTCATACTGCATACCGTTCATTCAACAGATACATTAACACAATAGCTTTACCTAAAAATGCAAATTGGCAATTGGATATTAAACAAACCCGATTCCTTCACGCGTCTTAGACTGAACACCACATCAAATCACATTGGTATGCGGAGCAATGTTACTCTCTGATTAAAAAAAAAATGTTTACCGTAAATGCTAAGCTATGTTGAAATGCAACTAAAATGCGACAAAAAACTTTATTTTAAATAATCTTTAAAAAACTCAAACCGATGTTGTATTTCGTCTACAGCTGCCACCGTTTCCGCTGTAGATCAAACCTGGACGTAGTTTTTCAGTCACCTTAAATCTGACAATACTGTCCAGTTACACTTTGATACAATTTAGTACAATACCAGTACCGAAGCTCGGTTCAAATCAATTGCTGCCACCCCAACCAGCGATGCCAATTCCTGGAGATTTGGAAACCCCAGTTTATTCCCTGTTTCCATGTGTTCATATGTATTCCCAGCACACGTGCTTTCTTTGTGGACTAGTCAGCTTTCCTCCATTTTCCTCGTCAGTGTCAACGTTTCTAGAGCCGCATGTCATCCCGCACCTCACATTATCACGGTTGGCTACATACGAAAGAAGTTCAACGTACAACATACATCGGGGGTCACTAGCTAGTAAACTCTTGACCCTCCTTGTTCTTGTCCTCTACTGTTCAATCGCAGTTAAAATTGTTACCAGGCACATTCCTTCGTATTGGGATTTTAATTGAATTCGAACTTTAAATACAGCCGCATCAAGACAATGTTTACACACAACAGTTTGTTTCAGAGATACATTTTTTTCGTACAACGCTAGTGAGTGAAACCAATGCATGCAGCAATACATGAAACAAAAACGAAAACATACACCAAGCACGACCAGCCCACTGCATAGGGCAGTGAATGCCCTTGAAAACAGAAATATCAACCCATAATTAGATAAAATATGAGCTAACAGTGCTTAACAAGGAGCGTATTGTTTTTATTTCAAACCACACTATACTGTAAGGGTATAATTTCCACTTCGTTACTCAGTCATGTTATGACATTGGTGGCCTGTATCCAAACGTTGGAAAACAGTGTCCGGATTCTAAAAAGAGGTTATAAATATCGAAGTTCCATAATACTACGTGTGAAACTGATCAGAGGAGTTGGGAATGACAACCCTGTGAATAAGAAAGACAAATTAGCCTCCATTTTACTCACCAGACTATGGTTGGGACAAGTTCGATCGTCACATGCCCGTAGAGGCCAGCACAGCGCTTTTGGAAGTACTGGAGACAAGCATGATAGAATTTATGGTGGAGGCCCTGCCAGGTCCTCATTCCAATCAATATTTTCCACCAAAGCAATCCACTCGGATGATAGTTTTTTTTTCTTCCGATCAGTGGTAGTAAAATATCCTGTCATTTTGCATCAAAATGCTATTTACTGTTAACTGAAGCACCAACGACTCCTTAACGAGGGTCGTAATGACACACCGATTTTAACAGATTTCAAAACCAACATTTCTTAAGCTCTCATATTGCACGTGTACGAATCAAAGTATGTTTTGATTTGTATTCCTATGTTGTATGCAATGGTTTCATGTGGCCCATGCAGCCACAGGAGGCTGATGGGTGCACTATACAAAAAGAGATAACAATTTTGAATCAAATCAAGACCCCGACACAGTGAGGGAAAAAAGTATTTGATCCCCTGCTGATTTTACACGTTTGCCCACTGACAAAGAAATTATCAGTCTATAATATTAATGGTAGGTTTATTTGAACAGTGAGAGACAGAATAACAACAACAAAATCCGTAAAAACGCATGTCAAAAATGTTATAAATTGATTTGCATTTTAATGAGGGAAATAAGTATTTGACCCCTCTGCAAAACATGACTTAGTACTTGGTGGCAAAACCCTTGTTGGCAATCAGAGGACAGACGTTTCTTATAGTTGGCCACCAGATTTGCACACATCTCAGGAGGGATTTTGTCCCACTCCTCTTTGCAGATCTTCTCCAAGTCATTAAGGTTTCGAGGCTGACGTTTGGCAACTCGAACCTTCAGCTCCCTCCACAGATTTTCTATGGGATTAAGGTCTGGAGACTGGCTAGGCCACTCCAGGACCTTAATGTGCTTCTTCTTGAGCCACACCTTTGTTGCCTTGGCCGTGTGTTTTGGGTCATTGTCATGCTGGAATACCCATCCACGACCCATTTTCAATGCCCTGGCTGAGGGAAGGAGGTTCTCACCCAAGATTTGACAGTACATGGCCCCGTCCATCGTCCCTTTGATGCGGTGAAGTTGTCCTGTCCCCTTAGCAGAAAAACACCCCCAAAGCATAATGTTTCCACCTTGACGGTGGGGATGGTGTTCTTGCGGTCATAGGCAGCATTCCTCCTCCTCCAAACACGGCGAGTTGAATTGATGCCAAAGGAGCTCCATTTTGGTCTCATCTGACCACAACACTTTCACCCAGTTTTCCTCTGAATCATTTAGATGTTCATTGGCAAACTTCAGACGGGCATGTATGAGTGCTTTCTTGAGCAGGGGGACCTTGCGGGTGCTGCAGGATTTCAGTTCTTCACGGCGTAGTGTGTTACCAATTGTTTTCTTGGTGACTATGGTCCCAGCTGCCTTGAGATCATTGACAAGATCCTCCTGTGTAGTTCTGGGCTGATTCCTCACCGTTCTCATGATCATTGCAACTCCACGAGGTGAGATATTGCATGGAGCCCAAGGCCGAGGGAGATTAATAATCTCTGTTGTCACCTTCTCACCAAGCTGCTTGGCAATGGTCTTGGAGCCAATTCCAGCCTTGTGTAGGTCTACAATCTTGTCCCTGAGATCCTTGGAGAGCTCTTTGGTCTTGGCCATGGTGGAGAGTTTGGAATCTGATTGATTGATTGCTTCTGTGGACAGGTGTCTTTTATACAGGTAACAAGCTGTGATTAGGAACACTGCCTTTAAGAGTGTGCTCCTAATCTCAGCTCGTTACCTGTATAAAAGACACCTGGGAGCCAGAAATCTTTCTGATTGAGAGGGGGTCAAATATTGTTATTTCTTATTACTTATTTCCCTCATTAAAATGCAAATCAATTCATAACATTTTTGACATGCGTTTTTCTAGATTTTCTTGGTGTTATTCTGTCTCTCACTGTTCAAATAAACCTACCATTAAAATTATAGACTGATCATTTCATCTTCTTTGGTTCTTTCGGTAAAGTCACGTAGAATGAGAATAAAATAATAAATTGATAAAATAAAATAACACAATAATATTCTCACGACGTTTCGGCCACAACACAAGCGGCCTTCATCAGGTGAAGGGGCGAGACTGTCTGGTAGGACAGCGCTGGAGTGAAAGAGCCACGTTCAGATCACGGCCTTTAAGCTGTGTGAGAGGAACAAAGCGCCTTGACAAAGGAATTAGCATATAATTTAGCATTGAAATGGCTGAATGATTAGCTTGTGACTGGTCACAGAAATAGCTATGTTAAAAGTTAAAATTTGACTGATCATTTCTTTGTCAGTGGGCAAACGTACAAAATCAGCAGGGGATCAAATACTTTTTTTCCCTCACTGTATGTGACAATAAGTTTAATTGCGAGCTGCAGTGAATTGCTACACTGCAAGCAATTACCAATGGCGTACATGGGTAATAATTGGAGCCAAGCCTCAAGGACCAAAAAAAGCACGCGTACAAACCACGTCAATTCCGCTTGTTACAATGATCGCAAGGCACGGCCATCAAAAGGACCCAACAACAACAACAACCATGACTTGCTGGGGAAAATCCGAAGTCCGTTTAAGAGAAGCCTGTGTCGAAGCAGCTCTTGGCTAGAAGGCGTTCCTGTACCTTTAAACACTTACACGGCCATGCAGTAGTGGCGGCGTCAAGTTAAGTGTAACCACCAGGAGACCGCTCCCCTCTTGCCGAGTGTGCGAGCACACGGGGGATGAGTTGGCACGTGTTCTAACTTAAGGCCCAGCTGCCACACTCCATCCACAACCAATGCATTAATCAACTTTACGGTCATTCTGGTCACCTCAACCAGAACGGGCCTCGCCGAATTCCTTCGCGAGCGCACGCACGCAAAAGAAAAAAAACACACCCGACGGAGAATACACGCGATACACGCGCTCTCGACGCGAGATGGGATCATCAGATGGGTGGTCCGCATTCAGCTCGTTGGTATTCAGTGGGTTCACGGGGACCCTACATAGCCAAGAGAGGCTGCTACCATTCGTCACAATGCGTAAAAAAAAAATCGATTAACAAATTGAATTGGAAAAAATCGTTGACTCACAAGGAGAGTCCAAACTGCATTGCAGTGAAGCTGCTTAACATGATCACGCTGCGGAAGTTTGTACAGTGTACCAATGGTAAACTTGTCACTGCAACACAGAGGAGCAATGCACAATTGAGGCTTCAACCAGCATTGTGTCCTCTTGCAGGGTAAACAGGAAGTTGGTATTTAGCGAAGTGCGTCTTGGGAAAATTACGGGGCATTTTGTCGCTGCTGGAAAATGTGGCAGCGGGCAGGATAAGAATTTATTTCTGCCAGATGTAGCCGGCAATGTTATGGAAACCACATGGAGAGAGACATGCTGAGCTCGAATCGTACATTCTTCTGCCTGCCGCAAAGGACCGTACACAAATGATGAAGCACATTTTTTTTTCTCCCCAACTTTAAATTAGTTCTTGATTTTAAAAACACCCAGATCGACAACGGTTAATGTCACTGTGTCTCAAGGCACTATTCGAAAATGAAGAGCTACGTTGGGATAGGAGGAGAGGGGTTGTGATGGGGAGACGAGGGAGGAGAAAGGAAGGAGCATTCACCACCGTGATATAGCCCAGGTCGCAGAAAGCAGGGCCCAGCATAAAAAAATAGGCATAATATTCATAAAAATGTTTTAAAGTTGTGTAAACAGGCATTATATTGCTGGACAATACGGTATTCCCTCGTAATTCGCAAGGGATATGTTCCGGAGATGTGAATAGCATTTAATGAATTACCTTAAATAAATTAATAAATACGTTCTCCCTCATCACTTTATTTCATCACTTTCCCTCTCTCTCTCTCGATGCAGTATTGTCGAGTTGCAGAAGCGATTCGCGGATAGCCAAAAATAACGGATAGCAAATTCGTGAATAACAAGAAAATGCTGTACTCAAGTTTCAAACGTATATTTTTAGACGTAACGTTAATTGAAATGGTTACGCATACGATTAAGTGTTTTGGTTTGAGGTTTTGGGCTTGTGGTTTTACCCACCTGTAAACATCAATACGGCATTCTATACGAGCCCACGCACGTTGCTGGAGGTGACTGCATTATTCATCGTTTTATTTTCCCGAGTACAAATGTGGGAGGAGATGCGAGAGGAAATGCCTCCTACGAACAGAGGAAGGAAGGGCATCATCCTAACTCATCCCTCAGGAATTAACAAGGAACATTCAGCAGAGTATGTTACCACCATTTCATAAGTAAGGCAATCACTGCTAAATCAAAGCCAATCAAGCCATCTAAATATGCCAGTCTGAGCTTTAGGATGCACATGGTAATGCACATCTATGCTTTTTGAAGAAAAAAAATGTGGGCGACTACAATGGAATGTTTTTAAAGACAAATACTATTAATAAATATACATTTGCAATGTGGAGTTGAATAAAGACAACAGCAGAAATGCTTCTCAACTACTTGAGAACAAGAATCCATTGGGATCTCTCGCAGAGCAGTGCGATCATCCTCTTAGAGAACGGCCCACTGAAGCGGATATCATAGAGCTACCGCCTAGTGAGATTTCTTCAAGTGACCTCATATTCGACACAGTCAGGGGGAGGGGCAGCCCTTTCTTTGCCACCCACTCTGCTATTTAGTGATGTTCAACACATGGCCATCAAACTAATAGTTCTAAATCTCAGGAGGTGGAATTTAGTCAAATGTAAGTGTTTAAACAGTTTTTTAAGGCGATGTTTTTACACGGTTGTTGGTGACCAGGCCGAGACCATTAATTCACTATGCTTGAGAACAGTTTACTCATAGGCTTAGCTTTGAACCCAGGATCTCAACGGTGCCTGCACCTGAACACTCAGACCTCTGGAACCACCCAGCCCATACTCTTTGGTTCTATTCGGTAAAGTCACGTAGGTAAAAAATAAAATAACAAAAATCACGACGTTTCGGCCACAACACAAGTGGCCTTCATCAGGTGAAGGGACCGTGCTGTCATGAGGACAGCGTTGGAGTGAAAACAGCCAAGCCCAGGTCGCGTCCTTTAAGCTGTGTGGGAGGAAGCAAAACGCTTGACCAAGGAATTAGCGTAAAAATGAGCACGATGTACGTAGGAGGTGCATGGGCCATGATGGACCAGGAGCGAGTGGAGTGAGTGAGTGGAGTGAGTGAGTGGAGTGAGTGAGTGGAGTGAGTGAGTGGAGTGAGTGGAGTGAGTGGAGTGAGTGGAGTGAGTGAGTGGAGTGAGTGAGTGGGGTGAGTGAGTGAGTGGAGTGAATGAGTGGAGAGAAATAAGCAGCTGTGAAAGTTTGGGATACCACTAGCCCATCTTTTGAAATTATTTTACAGACCTCCACAGTTTAATATTATGAGCATTTTAAAAATGCCCATTAGCCCGAGAATAAATGAGGGTGTTCTGACAGAGGGTATGAAAAGGTCACTGCCACTGCACGGACGGTGAGAAAATCGAAATTAATTTGGGCTCAATTTTGCTCCAAGCAGTTGGTGATATTTCCCCCTTGCGGCTTTGGAATTTGATGACGTTCGGCCTGTTGCGGTTGGCGTCGCCGGTGTTCAAAGCGACCACATCAGCGGCACGTGCGGCTACATCAAAACCGCCGGGCGGGCGCATCCGTCCGTCACCGGTAACAAACAGCATGCAAAGGCGCAGAGCAGACTTGAAGCGGCCAGCAGCCGCAGCGATTATGGAAAGGCCTTCCATCACGTTTGCCGGCGGTGGCGGCTGAGAGGCCAGTGCAAGAGGGCCTTGAGTATACGACGAAAACTTTACAGAATAAAACTATGAGGACGCGTTTCTCTCCTCGTCCGGGCATCGTGCCGAACAACATGCAGCAACAACCTGAAAACACATCGGAGAGATAGTTTCTACTGCTCTCCCATGACCTGGCTTCCCCAACACCGGTAATATACAAAATTCCCTGTCTTTTCATAGTTTGTGCTGGAGAGATCTGTCCGGATTAGACAGTGATATTGCCTGAATGCGGCCACGTGGGTATGGCTGAGGCTCGTTATAAATAATGAAGGGACGTTAACATTGCCTTCCTGTCTCGCGTGTGGGTGCTATACATCTCGCGACAGATTCTTACGGCAGTAAAACCAGTGGCCCCACAAGACACGGCCAATTGAACCACCTGCTCGCTATGAGACGCATCCTCCAAAGCCAAGAAAACAACTGGCAGCAATACAGATAGTCAATGGCTATCACGCATGAAGACGTAAAAACAAGATAAGCAATGCAGGGATCCCACGAACAGAGCCACCTTGCTGGTATATTCAAATTCTGCATTATATATATTTACATATTTTTACAACGGGTGGTTAAAACAAATCTTTAGGCACGTTCACCTGACAATTTGACGTCAAACTGAAGCTTTATTACGCGAGAATGTACGTATGTTAAACTACTTTCACACCATATGTAGCCAACCGTGATAATCGGAGGTGCGGGGGGAAGAACAACAAACTAAACATAAAAAGCAGTTCTACAAACAATAGTTTTCCATCTAGATTTAAAAGTGCAAAGCTCCAGTGGCTTCCTAATATCGGAAGGAAGAGCGTTCCAGACGGCTGCAGAAGCGCCCCTGAAAGCACGGGATGCGGTGACCGAATGCACGCAAGGTAGGGATCTCACGACAACTTTTAAGAAAGGCAGGGCTGAACATCTAAGTGCAAAACTAAGGGGCAGGGAGGAAGCTTACCACCAAATATGGAAGCCCTTCACTACTTCTCCACCAGTGAGCATTGATTCTTAAGAGCATTCATGGCAGCATTTAAGCACCCCACCCGCTCCCTCCCTCACTTTTTTTTTTCTTCTCATACAGAGGTCTCAGAGCTTGGGAAGACACGAGCGTTGTCGAGTTCATAGAAAGTTTCTTGAAATGTGCGGCTTAGTCAGGTTTCCATTGCACTGTAATCTGTAATGTGTCTGTGCTGACGTCAACGCTCTTTCGTATCCTCTGTGGTGTTGGACAAGAGTCGTTTTGTTCGTCGAAAATACTTTTGGGGGAAAAAAATAAAAAGGCAGATGGGGGCTTGGGCAAGGACGCGTCACGAGGAGCGACGATGACCCTGGAGGTCGAGACGAATCACAGCAGCAGGCCGAGAACCAAACAAAGCCTCCCAAGGCCACCGTGCAGGCGGAGCGATGGAATCGCTGGGTGCAGACGAAGCGATGGAATCGCTGGGTGCAGCCGGTTGCGAGATAGATCGTTACACATGGCAGGACGGTGAGAGACAGCGAGAGATGATGGTGGGGTTTTGGGAAGGCCTTCGTTCAGCAGTTGATCGATCGATTTCATTTAGACAATGTATAATCCTCATTTTAATGGTATTTGGTTAAAATCTTAATAGCACTCACATTGGAAGTGAGTATATTAGAACGTAAAAAAGTAAATGTCAACACAAAGGTGCATTCCACTCTCCAAACACTTCTGACAACGGGAAAACATTTTCACTTCCTGCATGTATCCTACACATGCTCACGCTCGCACTCAATTCAATCATTTAAAATCAACTCGTAAAGGAGGCACCGTGGTTGATCCACCTAAAACGCAGCGCTATTCTCAACAACACAACCTTTCTTTTCTGCCATCTTCGGTGGTGAGAACGTAGCTAAGGGTGGGGGGGGTGACCTGCGGGCCCACACACAAGGATAGCGGGGGGGAGTGGGGGGGGGGACCTTTGGTCTCGGTCCCGACCCTCCCCACCCCGCTCCCGGAACGTCCGCAGCCAAAGGCTTCGCGCTCTGCTTGCGGCAGACAAACCCAAACAAACGCCAACCAATGCCACACACCCACCTGACCACGAAGTGCGTGATGCCAAACTCGGGTAGCGACTGCCACGCCTGGATGAAGCGCATCTTGGCCTCCACGAGGCTCATGTGCGACACGTTCTGGTGAGCCTCCAGGATCCGCGCCGTCAGCTGCGGGAAGCAACGGCGGGAATCGTGAGCGCCTTACGGCTGTCGCGGCACGCGGCTGTGCCCGTGATGGATCACGTAAACGTTCTCGTGCGTGGGGCTGATCATCCATTTGGGATTGTGTTATTCATCGGCAACTTTTTGAGCACTGAAGCTGTGGGACTTGTATTTGCCCTGTAGGGTCTCATCAGCAGTGAGGCTTGTGAGACCAATACTGAGGGGTTGCCAGATGTTACTGCCATGACCACGTCCCTCTCCTCTTCGCAATGTGTCCAGCAAAGGAATGCCGACATGGACAGAGGCATGCTTGCGAATGTATTTATTTATTTGTGTATTGCCCTCGCTGCTGCACGGCAGTGCACCGTGATCACCGATTCTCGCGAGCATGCATGCTAACGCCAAGCCCTCGTGCCTGGTAAAAACTTCCAACATATTTGTGACGCATCCGCAAGGGTATTCGTAAAAAAAACCTAAAGCCTTTACACTGCATGGTCACTGCCAGGGGCTACAGATGGTATTGATAACATCGGCATTTCAAAGATTACAAAACATCAAAGGAAACACAATAATGAGGTTCCATTCTAAAAAAAAAAAACTTTTACAAGTCATTGCCTCCAGGTTAGAAGTACTCACAAAAGTTATTCCACTCAATGGCCACGTGTCAGTCTCACGTTTTAAATGATTCAAGAAATGCGTTAGAATTCACGTGCACATTTACAGCTCGTGTTGTCAATCCCACCCCATGCTGTGGGGGTCGTGGGAGTCATCTGACCATACTTCACCACGCTGGCCAGCAGTGTAGGTTGGTGAAGGTGGGGATAGGAGTTTGGAATGTACAACAATGGATTTGCTGCCCAGCCCACAACTCCTACCACACCTGTCCGCACCGACAATTTAGCACGTTTGGCTACGTATGGTGCGGAAGACGTTCAACACACATACACACACGGTGGGTCACTCATCCAAAAGTTATCCAAGGCTCAACCATGCTGAGCTTTTCCGAGATCTGACAAGATCGGGCACGCATTCGGGATGATGCGGTCATAGATGTCACAATGTCAGTGTATTTAGTGGAGGAAACACACTTCCACACGTGTGACTTAACCCATGCAAGCATGCACACTTACCAAGTCTCGCACAGAAACCGTCTGAAAGATGCAGTTCAGGAGCAAGCGGAGGGAACCCAAAGACCCAAGAGAAAGATAAAAGTGAAAAAACAGGGCAGCACCAAGCAGCAACATTGACGCAGTTTTATTTGAGAGGATACCAAGATACGAGCTCAAGATGTGTGCAGGTGTTACCGTATGCTGCCATATCACGAGAAGGTTACATAGGAAAGTATGCCGCTATATTCCAGAGTGATTTATATGGTGCGTGATAACAAGCACATGCTGATTAACCTGCACTTCAAAACATGTAATGATATACCGATGCTATGGAGGCATTCACTGCTTTTTAGTATGAATCACCGACTGCAATGAAATGCAATCATCATTTAACAGGCACCTTTCATTGCCTAGGTCCCCTGCCTGGCTCGTTAGGTTGGCCCACCCAGGCAAGAGAAGAGGGCTGGGGTCAGGCCTCCTAGCCTCTACTTTATCACACAGACATGGGCTGTCACATTCAACAGTTGCGAAAAAGAAGCAACAAAGTCGTGGTGTTTAACATAGGACATTGCACGATACTCCAACAATGCAAAAATGTTGTGTGCAAGAAAATTTCACTTTCATTCATCCTGTATTTGAATTTGACATATATACCCTGTTTACACACGAGTGCAATATAGTCACTATAACACTATAATGTGCCTGTAAACGTAATTGTACTCGGATCAGTTTAAACAAAATTTTCCCGAGTCATCCTCAGCTACATGGAATGTGTTATTTAACACCGATTTATGATTTTGAGCAGTATATTAATTTCATACGGTGACGACCAAGTTGTTTTTGCTCCAACTTCGATTCGCCTGACTGCTGCCCCTCATTCTATTCGTTGTGCCCTCGTCATTTCTGGTGTCCCAGGTTTCCGTTGCAAATGACACTCCTATCCTTGTCCCTTGAGTTCTCACCTGGGTAACAAATAAACTAGGACTTACCTTGACGTGCACGCATTAAAAGAAAATCTACGGTGCAATGTCGACACTCCTGATGAAGCGAGACAGCCTCGAGACGCGCATCACCAACTAAGACCCGCTCGAAACCCGCTCCCGCTCACCTGCTTGGCCTTGTACTTCTTCATGTAGCGAGGACACACGAACGACTCGGGGTTGATGTCGGGCACGTTCTGCGGAGAGATGCTCTGTGGCTCCAGGCTCACGTTCTGCATCTTCAGGAAGGTGAGGATGCTGTTCACCTCGCCCGCGTAGGAGCTGTCCGCCATGGTCTTGCCCTTGGAGGCCAAGCGGCACGCCGCCATCCACTCCGCGTACTGCTTCTCCTGAGCGCCGGACGGGTCACGCCAATTTCATTTTCGTTGAGCGAAAAAAGTTCACACGTACATGCATATTGGTAATTCAGGGGGCGAGTCTCCCCATAGGATGACCAATGTTGACTTCCCCCACATAGTGGTACCTATTTTATTGACCAAGAGGGGATGATGGTGATTTGTAATATACTCTTGTACCACTCTTGGTTGAGTGTGGAAATACTGGACTTGTGACCTCCTCACTCCGGATTAAATGTTATAGCCAAGTATAAATAGTGCGGCCCTTTAGAGGAAATGACGAAAATATGTCATTGTCTAAAATAGGATAGAAAAAACATGCTGATGCAGAGATGGAAAAAAGGAGCAGACAGTATTTATTTATGAAATACATTGCGAGCAAAACAACTATATATAGGTAACTGAAAGCAAACTAAATAAAAAGCGGAAAAAGTTGATGATTGAATGGAAATGAAGGCGTCAACACAAGCATTGTAAATCAATACACAATGCCAACACAAACATGGGAACCAACCTCAAACAACGGGGTACACACACAGCGCAGACACTCCCATTCAAGGGCCAAGAAGACAGCACTCATTGAGCAGAAATTGATGCTGCACCTCGAGTCAGCCGGTTAAAAGAAACTCGATGACATTTTACAGAGGTACTTAAGCTCATAACCTGACTCTCACTCGTCAAAAAAAAATATCTAACGTGCCTCTCCCTTTAAACTTTACGATTGGATTAAGCTGTTCCTAGAGTGCTCCTCGGTGCAGCACTGATCCAGGAGGTAACTTTACATCTCAAGCACGCAGCTGCACACACACAACTCCGGCACTGGCTGACCCATGGCACGTGTTTGCCAAGACACGTGCCGGTCGCAGCAATGCCAGTGTGAGTTTCATCTCCACGCTACCGTACACTTGCGTGTAACCTGGAATGTGAAGCCGTGTCAACAAACAGATTAGAGGCTCTTCAAAGGCTGGGACATCTCAATTATGACATTCGCCAAGGAGGCCGCTCTTGTGTGATCACATGCTATAATATGAGGCAACAATGCATTGATGCAGGGCATGCGAGAATTAAATTAGATTCTTAGGCTCAAAATACAAGCATCGAATTGTGCATTGTATATGAGGGGTTCATGTAACATCTGAAGCTGTAAAACATTTATATTTAATCGGACCGCAAACTTGAAGCATGACGGTTTTACACGGCTAATGGAATGAAGAAAACTAAAAAAAAAACGAGACCAAATTCAATCAATTATTGAATAAAATTGTGACCCCCTAATCGTGACAATTCGGTGAGGTATGTATTGATAATAGGGTTTCCCCTTTTTTTCTGGTAACAAAACAGGTGTTAAGATGTTAAAACACCAAACTGAAACTTTTAACAAGGAATCATGTCTGCATTAACCACAATACTTGTGGTCAGAATGCAAACACGCCTCTGGTCTAACACCGTTTGAGACGAGGCTCGAAAGAAATGTCTCTAGTGTGGACCAATCTGTTTCAAGGACAATGCAAACATTTATCAGACTACGTTTTTTGTTTGCATTCTGACCACAAGTATTGTGGTTATTGCAGCCATGATTCCTTCTAAAAGGTTTCAGTTTGGTGTTTTAACATCTTAACACCTGTTTTGTTGCCAGAAAAAAAAGGGGAAAAACCTATTTTCACATTTTGGTACTGGCAAAGGAGATCCCATGATGAGGAATGTATTGTCAAATGCCTACTACTACTATGTATATGACGAATTTTACAGGGATAATAAAAAAAAAAACATTTAACATTTTAAAATGCTTTAAGCTTGTTCTGAAAAGGTTTCACAAACCTCCTACCTATGTATCGCTTAATTTAACACAGCCAAAATAATTTTGAAGACAGTGTCACGAAAGCCACTTTCCATTAAGTTTTTCAAAGACACGTAGTGTGGACAGCGAATCCTGCTTAATTTGTGAGTAAAAAACAAGCCATCTGCTTTGGTGCAATGGTCGGCATACACAACTTAAAATCGAGAGGTCGATGGTTTGAAATCCTGGCGTGGCAGCTATCTGCAGGTCACAATGGGGTAAAGTGTGGGTATACTCCCCCACAGCTTCCAAGACATCTGGCCAGCATAGGAAGAGGCTGCCAAAATGTAATCTAGAGTCTCTCTACAGAAGACCCTCGTGGAGGCCTTTCTGCCAGCAGTGCCATTTTTCATTTTTATTTTACCAGGTAAGGCCCATTGAGCTATAGAGCTCTTTTTCAGAAGCGACCTGGCCACATATGATAGCTCAAGGGAGGGGCGTATCATGTGGAAATGTATAGCACGCAAATACTCTGAACGCATGTTTCTAAATGTAGAGGGAAAAACCGGAGGACCCGGAGTAAAATCCACGCGACCACGGGGAGAGCATGCAAACTCCAAATATATGGGCACCAGGGTCGGGATCGAACCTACGACCTCCTGTATACCAGGCGAGGTAGTTAACATCTCCTAGCCACTGCATGCAATAGCAGGGCTGTGCCTCTACCTTGACTTTTTCGTCAACAAGATATTTGGTTTTTTTTAAATAATCCAGCAGGGAAACACTTGGCATATTGAAAAGAACAATTTACACTCGAGTGGAAGGTCGATCAGATAAATCAGAACCGAGCTTTTGTCTGTAAAGCTCTCAATCGGCAAGCGAGCACACCTTGAAAGGGGAAAAACAGGTGACCCCCCCCATCCAAACTCATTTCATTTCTTGCGCAGCATGTCCAAGTGTTATTTTATGGCACAACACTGCCATAAACATCAGTGACTGCTCTTGTTTTCTTGGCCATTACTGTTTAACTATGGGTTGGCAATTCATGTGGGCGGGTATTCGTGGCGCCTGCTTCCAGTTGAATGTTTTCCCAAGGTTTGAGTATCAGATCTTTGTAGTTTATTTCTGCCAATGGCTATATCTACGTTTTATTTATTGTTGCTTAACTTTTTAAATTTGTATTCCTGGTGCAGTTAAGTAGATTTTTTTTGCTCCCTGTTTTTACAAAATCTTGTTTTTCCCTTTCACCAAAATACCATGCGGTTTTGCCAGTTCCAACTGTACATGATGTTGAACACACAATTTGTCCGTGATGCAATTAAAAAAGGGATATTTGTCTCTTTATAAAGGCATCTGTTTGTTGACAATGCTACACATTGGACTCAACTGAGAGTAGCTAAGGATTCCAAATGGGATTCCCACTTAAGGTGGACAAAGGTATGAATCATCCCGTTTATCCACCATCAACAGGCACTATCTAGAGCTCTCTGTATGGCAGGAGGCCCTTCTGCCAACAGTGGCATAGGCAACTAATTGCAGGGCTGCACTTTTACCTTCTATCGAACTTAAAGTGCAGCTGATGACTTAAGTGGTTAACCGCACTTAGTCTATTTACACTGCGCTTGTGATAGGATCAGCATGGAGAAGTACAGTCAAATAACTCGCATGATGTGCACTGTTTTGGGAAGCTCTCATTCAGCAGCGATTCGTCTAAGGACCACACATGTACTTGTGGTAACGAGTAATGGGCGAGGCATCCCTGCTCAATACAACTCACAACACCATCGTGAAGAACCAACGTTCCTTGAAGGAGACAATAGCCCCACCCCCATCCACCCGCACCAACTCAGTTCAGAGTGGCAGAACATTGTGGACGGGACACACCTCTGCAATATACTGCTAAAGCGTGGCCATAAAAGTAAAAAAAATAAAAAAAACTTCAATCAGATACACGAGCACAATGCTTTCACTCGACCAGTGTCGTCCTCAAGAGAAAGCCACACTACCACGGCAGGCTCAACAGGCGACCCACCGGGTAAACACGCGGCAGCGCTGTGCTCCGTTGCCACAGTGCAGTGGCTACTTACACTCTCACAACGGAGCCAGACTTCAGTCATGCCCTCGGTAACTGGCACCAACAGTTTGATGTTAAACTTCTGTGCAGCTATGTTGACGTCCGGAATGACTTCACATCCTGCAATTCACACAGGACATCACACGGACAATTCCTTTATACATTTATCCATCCAATTATTCACTGGAACATTGACGAGCGGTGTAACGACCAATCGATGTTGATTCTTAAGGCTCACACAATATTACCTTGTAAGAATCAAGTTGATGAAAATTACAGATGCAAATGATGGGGTGGATTGGTGGCGCAGTGGCAAAAGCACCGAACTTTAAAGCCAGTCACCAGAGTTTGATTCCCAATCACTCTTTAACATTACTGGTGAATGATGTCAGAAGCGATCCTAGGTCCTCACTTCACTAGCCTGCACCGACCAGCATGGTGAAGTATAGTCAAACAACAACACCCACGATTGATACGGCGTAGAGAGGTCTTCATCAAGCAGTGACTTGACAAAGTGCCGTCAATTACTATAATATATATTTATATGCAAATTGTATTCTCTTGTCAAATTTAAACTAAGCGAACAATACGGTATAATGGAGATCAGAAAACTGATCAAAAAATACAAACAATACAATAAAAACAAGATGACATGATAATCTGACACCCCGAATTGTGATTATTAATTTAAATGTCTGTTTGCTTCCACACAAAAAAGATGCTTGGCAGTAGCCAGCCAAGGACAAGCTTGCATCAAATATCCTGGGGCTCAAGCACAACTCGCAGCAAAGTGATGCAAACAGAAAACAGCCACTTTTGCTTGCCATGTTTTTGTCTGCAAGGTCACACAAGCCGATCTAGGACAGTGAACGCCACATGTACAAGATGACGGATTATAATCCGAGTCCACACGAGTCAAGGTCTCTCAGACAATGAACTCATTGAGCATGCGTTTTTATGCGTTCTTGCAGATATGAAAGCAACTTCCACAACAATCCTCTGAGAAACAGATAATTTTGTACGAGCCCACATTTGGCTAAAATTTCCCCGAAGCATTTGCCAATAACTTCTCCCAATTCTCTAACGCACAGAGGGGAAAATTCTCTATTGTATGATGGAACCCCCACTTATCCTGTGTCAATGTTTTTATAATGAATTAATTAATTTTTGCTTTGGTTCACTGTTGCAGGAAAAGCATCACAGAATACGTTATCTTGTCTCCATCCTCTCCATCTCTTCCCAAAGATCCCACTCCCACCATGTAGCCTTGGACACTGTTTGGGCCAGTTCTGTTAGTGAGCACCTATTAATGCCAATATCATATTCGATACAGAAGGTGTGGCCAGCGCCACACCCAGGCTTTTCTTTCCCCCCTGCCCCTGCTGATATTTACACGCTGCATCTGTTACGGATAATTTAAGGCCGAGTTGATCGAGAGGATGCCCAAAACTAGTTCTGGTATCACAATCCAATGATGTTTGCCACATAGAATGCATTCCATGTCGCTGGGTTCATTGCGCAGTGCGCTATCCTAAGCATCACCACTCCCCACTCAACGCAGACACAGAGATATTATGATATTGCACCCAACAAGAAGCTGTGGTGAGCTGGCCACCAGGGACACTTCCCATGAATGCAAGCATATGCAAGTAGCTACTGTATATCAAACTTTAAACGTATATTTTTTGTAACTGAAATTTCTCGAATGCCTATATTGTGCCTGCGGCAATCCTTTGGGTATGACAAAAATTAATGGAGCATCTACTCCACTCGCTCGTACCATAGCCAAATGCACCTGCAGTAAGTGTGTGGTTTAACCGTGTACACGGCAGCTATGTGCGTGTGCTTGGCAGTGTCCAAACAGAGCGGGAGTGTAGCGGTTGGCCCGCTGCACTACAAACCCGGTCACCCGAGTTTGATTCCCGCTCACGGCCAACACCAGTAATGATTATCTAAACTGGTCCTGGGCCTCCCCTAGGTCGACTCAGCCATAAATGAGTCCCTAGTGCGGTGCGTAAACATCGCCAATGGGGAGACAAATGCGGCTGGGCTTGGTGCTGGCCAAACATCCCCTCGTGACGGCCTTCATTAGGTGCTCGCTAACAGAACTTGCCCCAACAGTCTGTTAAGACTATCTTTGTCGTTGTTAGCGCACATAGATGTCTAGGATGTTAAAGTTTTTGTGGACTCTTTTATATGGTTTGACCAGCAGCGAATAGATAATTTATATATTCTGCCACAACCGGGTCATGCCCTCAAAGAACAGGGTCACGGCATCCATGGTAGTTGATCAACAGTTTGTACGTAAATCACAACGGTGGAAAAAGCACACGGGGGGACAGCTGGCCTTTTGCACGAGCATATGTCTGACATTTACCTTTAAATAAATAAATATTACAGGCATGCTCCTTTTATACTCCAGTGCCATGGAGGCAAAGGTTGGTGGTTCACGTAGAGATCTGTAAAACTCCCGAACCCACTGAAATGCAAAGTTATTCAAAGAAGACCGTACAGCAAATATGGCTTGTGACCCGGTTGTGTGGATCTTTCATTATCTAATGGCACGTGTGGGTTTTCTTCGCGTATCACGGTTTCTGCTCATATGTAAAAATCAAATCATTAAAAGGAATGTGGCCAAAGCATCCCATTAAAAAGAATTCTGAAGATACAGTAAAGATTTCCTGGATAAGCAAAGTTTTTTAAAGCTATAACTATTAAACACCATCTAAATCACAGAGTTTATCCACAAGGAGACACACTGAAGACAGAGGGCAACAACAATTATAGGACCAGATATTGTGCAGACTAATCATTTGCCGTGCCATATATTCAGTCTGGATGTAGTCTACCCGAGCCGATTTGCTCCGCAGGGTATGCAGTTTTTTTTAAAATTCCTCGAATGATAGTTGCTTCTCTTCGGATTTGTATTTATTTTCCTTGCATTTTGGTGACCCGGGTCACGATTGCAAAATGAGGCTTATCCTGTTCTCTTGAGTTCTCACGGTTAAACAAAATAAACTTGAACACCCAAAAGGGCATTTCTGGACAGCAAAAGTTGCAAGTGAGAGCAATGATGCGGCCCTCTCACCTGCTACAAGTGGCACGTGCTCCCGCCCCCCACCACCAAACCGCGTGTATATTGCAACGCAGCCACATTTTAGACCACAACTCTCAATTGTGGCCACTCTATTTCAGGCAGTAAGCTGCGGGACAATGAGACAAATTAACCACAGACTGGAGTTTATCGGCAGCTGGGGCAAGTTTTTACCTCTGAGGGTGATCTGCTGCACAGGTCTGGGGTCGTCTTTATTCCTGTAGTAAGAGATGGCCGTATCCTTGAACACAAACCAGTATTGCTTGTAGCCCTTCAGGGTCAGCTTCTTTGGCCTGCCACAAAAAAAAAATAATCCATGAAAACCATCAAACACATCCTCAATGTGCAACAAAGAAGAGAATCGCACGAGCAAGATTAATACGGCAAACGGTGCTCGTAACGCTCGAAAGCCTTACCGGAACATCTTCAGATAGTCGGAGAGCTCCGGGATTTTCATGATATCCCGCTGAAATTGGGAAAAGAAAAAAAAACATGTTCATAAAAAGCCAGCAAAAATAAATCAGTGGGCATTTTGCCTCGGCAAACTTCAATAAAGCACACTCATGAAAGGGCAACTGCAGCTGGCATTGGGCCGCTCTGTGAAAACATTGGCTTCAGAATGGTTGCCATGGACAATGTGCGCTTGAACATTGGCTCTGAGGAGTTTTGTTTATTTTTCTATGATCACAAACAAGCAAGAAAGGGAAAATCCGTCCATCATCAGCAATGTTTGACAAGCCAAGAAAACAATTTTGAATTTCATTAAAATGTTGCCGCATTAGCGAGTACAAAAGAAAAACTGAACGAGCTCCACAAATTCACGTCAGAGTTAACAAATGTCAAAGTTAATAAAGAAAATGATGGTCTCAGCCTGAGTTGGTTCCAGCGGAAGAGCGAAAGGCTCGTAATTGGAAGGTTTCCAGTTACAATCCTGGTGGTTGGGAGTTGACTCAGCCCATCATCCCTCTGGGGGCCTATAAAATAAATACCTCTTTGTGAGAAAATGAACAGTGGTTATCATATGGATAGCCTCACCCCCATCATCAGAATGTGGAATTCCCACCACAGGCTCGAATCTGTAAACAGGCGATGAGCACCAGCTCAATGTTCATTTGCGCAGGAAATCACTTCGCCTTTGTGGTCTTTCAATCAAGAATGGACAGTGTATAACCTGCATTGACTCGTCAAATAAAATGTATTATTGGGCTTATGATATATGCATCGAATCGTGCGTGCAAGAAGAGATAGCGTTTCATATTGTGCAAGCTGTACGTAATCAGTCCACGTAATCAACCACTCGGCGGTGCACCTCCGATTCGCAAGGCTGGCTGCGTACGGTGAAAAAGAAGTTCAACTTGCATACATACATTCAACACCGTTGTAAAACGTAATCGACCATCGGATAGAATCACCATCCTGAATCGCGACAATCCATCGGATAACGAGCGGGGGCGAATCGATCCAGGCAATGATGTAAGAGTACCCCCCCCTCCACCCCTCCTGCACGGAGGCATCGTGCAGAAAATCACGTGCGGGGAGGGTACTTCAGATTATGAAAGGGGGCTCTATTTTTGTAAGGAGTGAAACAAGGCTGCAACAGAAATCGGAACACCACACGCGCTCGTGTTCTGTTACCCAGCTCCGCGTTTGCATTGTGCAACCGTAACTTGAATGCAATGCACAAAGCCTGCATGCAGCCGCAAGACTTCTCAAAGGCAGCCCCAGATCAAAGTAAGCTGCCCGCCCACCCCACAGTGAATGTACCGCACGTGCAGATGATGTCAGGGCTGCACAGAGATTGGGAAGGCGTGGCAAAAGGTGGCAATTTGTTCGAGGCCTCACAACAAAGGGCCCCCCCCCCCCATAACAGGTTGCGGAAGGTGAAATAACGCCCCCCCCCCCCATTATAGCATTCCTTGCCGAGCCTCAGGGGACCAACAGAGAGCCCTTTGCGTGCTGTGTTGAGAGGTCAACTGCATCAGCATCGCAGCTGAGGTGCAAGATAAATACGAGGTCATACGTCGTCGATGACAGCGGGATCTCAATATTCGGACCCTCGTCTCTGCAAGACAAACTTGCAGGCCACGTGATGCAAGGCTGGTTCAGTTCCAGTGGCCAGGTAAAGGCCTACTTAACTATGAAGCTCTTTTTCAGAAGCAAGCCTGGCCACAAATGATCGCTCAATGGAGTGGCTTATTACATGGAAATGTAAAGCAGCCAAACCCTTTAAAAGCACGTCGATTCTAAATGTGGAGGGAAAAACCGAAGGACCCTGAGAAAAATCCACACGCAACCACGGGGGGAGAGACATGCAAACCCTAAATATACAGCAGGCGTCAGGGTCGGTATCAAACCCACGACCTTCTGCATACCAGGCGAGGGAGATAACATCTCGCCACCGTGTGCGTGCGTGCGCGCGCGCGTGTGAGATCGCACGGTCAAGACGTCTCACCAGGCCCGAGGAGCTCCGGCCGCCTTCCAGGGCGATCTCCAAGTCCGACAGTGCCGCGTCCACCTCGTCCACCTCCTGTTCGCTGTGGTTCGCGTGCCCCTCCGTCATCAGAGACAGCTTGTTGATGTGATACTGTAGCCAGAAATTATAATAATGATAAAAACCTCCCCCCGGAGATGCATTTAAAGAAGCAGCGCTTCAAATGATTGTGAGATAACCATAGCTTTCTTGTGTTGTGATCTCAGACTGTCTTATCTCATTTATTTCCCTAACGGTTTTCCATAGTTCAGCGAATTCTACGTCACGGTTGGCGATTCTAATCATTTTCCACATCTCTCCTTCACGTCAACATTCCTTGCGTAGACTCCGATAACGTGTTCTGCATAAACTCAAAAGGCACTGCTTGAACAAAAATATCAGGGCAAACAAACATGGCTATTAAACACCAATATCAACATTACGCTTATGAGCAAATCTCCATAACTGTACCCGATCTCATAAACTAAGCAGGTCTGAGCCTGAATATCGCTGGGATTGGCGACCACCATGCACCGGCAGGTTGCCATAGACTGCGGGACTATTTCACCGATGGGAACCAGACAGTAGCGCAGCAAAATCTATTGTTGTACCGTACATCTACGCTCTTGCGTCTATGCTCCCCACCTCCAGCAACCCACACGGAGCAGCATGGTGAAGAATGGGCAAATATACTCCCACAACCAGCACGGCTTGGGGAAACCCTCATCCAGCAGTGGATTGACAAAAGGATCAGTACACGTGTCCACCATCAACAATCTAAGCATTGCCTAGCAATAACAGTGGGCTCCATCATGGAGCGACGCGTCTCAAGAGCGCAGATCCCCCTATTGGCAGCTGTCCCTGCGCTGCACAAGGTGACCCGCAACACTACTGGCTGGACGATGGGCATTATACCCTGCGAGTAGGGGGTGATGATTGGCATGTGAGTAACTGTGGGTCATCTTTCAATTCGCTTGCAAATGTGAACCGATATTGGCATTGTACGTTTTGTTGTTGTTATTGGGGATGAAACCCACCAAGAACAGGGGGAGAACATCCAAACTTCACACAGGTAGGCGCTTGAGTGTGAAATCAAACCCAGGCCTCTCTTGCTGCGAGGCACAAGTGTTACCACTACGCCATCCTTGGCGTCCCAAAGATAACGTTATCATTATCCCTCCTGCCCCGATTACGACAATGCTACGTTTTTTTCGCGAAGTCTGCTCGGGTAGATTTGAATGTAATTACGCGTGTTATCATTCAAGGATGAGCGATGAGATTATAAACTTGAAATTACAAGCTTTGCCTTGTAGCCATCTTCCAAGCACAGCGACACACGTATCATTGGTTCTCTTTCCCTGTTAAGAGGGACTGCAGCTGTAGCCAAGTCTCATAAAGGGATGTCGCGGTGGTGAGACATTAACTGCCTTGTTGTGTATACAGGCGATCGTGGGTTCCATCCTGACGCCTGTAGATTTGGAGTTTGCATGTCTCTCTACCTGTGGTTACGTGGATTTTTCTCCAGGTACTCCGTTTTTTACATCCACATTCAGAATCGACGTGTGTTTAGAGTATTTGACTGCTAGAAGTTTACACGTGACAAGTCAATTCGTTTCGGAAGCGAGCCGAGACCTTGTGTGGCCAGGGCGCTTCTGAAAAAAAAGAGCCGTACAAGCTCAGCGGGCCTTACCTGCTAAAATAAAACAAAAATCGTTTAGTCTGTAGTTCGTCGACAACGTGTTAGCACATGTAACGCGAACGCTTAGCGAACACAAACGCCGCTGCGTCGTCGTCATTCAAGCCCGTGAGAAGCCCCGCACCTGCAGCGCGGCAAACATCATCATCTCCTCCTCGGTGCACTCGATGTCCTCCAGGAGGATGGCCCACTTGGCCTGCTCATACAGCTGGTTTATTCTGATGGCGTCGTACTGAGAACAGGCGGGGGTGGGGTGGGGAGACACAGGAACTGAGTTATGTGTCCCAAAACATCACTGCTGGCTTCGAGGTCGCTAAACATACGCTGGATTTCAAATCATGTCCCGTTGAACACAATTAATGGGACGTGAAATCGGGATTAAAAGCAAGCGGGGTAAGCCTAAATATTTGTTATCGCTCACTGATATGTGTCCAGTCGGTCACGAATGCGTTGACGATCACATGTCATAAGCTCGTTGGAATGACACCGTGTTCAGTCTGTTAATGGCCTATTAAGACGATAAGAGCACAGTACATTGGGGCTCTTTGTATTTAAATGCTATTCATAATCTGTGCATCAGCGTGCCGAATCCGTAGAGTATTGCTTTCTGGCACTTTGGCACATAACAGTCCTAGTTCCTGCAGGGCATCCAAGATGATATATATTAGTAATTGCGAATAATTTGTCCAATTTAGTCATAATAATCAACTGGGCTGCTATTACAAAACAGAAGAAATAGCTTTCCTTATTCAAATAATAAATGTTCCGTTTTTATTTCAACGGGTTGAGCATCTTTCACCGTTTTCCAAAAAGGAAGTGTTTCTCGTCAGTGGCCACTGTTGTCATCGGGTGCTGTGAGTCACGCCTCGGTCTTAGAGCAGCCCGCCAATGATCACCACCCCCCAACAGCAAGGACTGAGCTCGACACGATACACTTTGACGTAAAATACTTTCACCGCATCCTTAATTAATTTAATTGACAACATTGCAAAGGGCGTAAATGTTTACCCTTGCTTGTGACTAAAAGACGTTTTCGGACGAAATGTATACATTTTTTTTTATCTCGTCACGAAACAGTGACCTGAAAACCAAATTAATGGACATCAAATAAAGTTTACTCTAACAAAGTAACGACCGAGGTAATGAGACTGTGCACTGCGCTAACTGGGGGCATGGAGGGGCACGCCTGTAATCCAGGACTCCGGAGGCAAGGATTGCTGGACTGGGAGATGGCCAGGAGATGGCAGTAGAGCAAGTGAATTTGCAAGTTCATCTGTGCGGATTCATGAGTATTTTTTATCCACTCGTGTGCGTGCGTTTTCCCAGAGCGCCCCAGTGTCCAACAACCCCCCCCCCCCTATTCGTCAAACGCTCCTTACAAAGGAACTGGTCGAACATCTGCAATGCATGGCGCTCTTGCAAAGAGTCTTGAGACTCACGAAGGCTTTGCTGGTTCAATAAATTAGATCGAAGTCAGCAAGTCGGACGACCGTTTAAGCAAGCCATGTCTACACTTGACTACTGCATGCAACGCACACTACGCCAGTCGGCATTGGTCAATGCAAGAACTTCCATAATGCCGCGTTGTCACAAGAGTAGGTTCTCCACAAGAGGCTTTTTGGGTTAGATCACGTGAACATAAACGCGTCGCTAAAATTCGCCACCGACCTGACACAACAACGTAAGTTAGTTTTGTCAAGTGAACCAAACGTGGCAATTAGTTCCTAGTCCAGCTCACCAGTCCGTTGGAGAGTTAAACCCACAACATTTACAATTCGAGTACTGTGACGTTTCGCAGCCAATCACAACCAGCCTCATCAGGCCGCAACCAGAATTGGGGAGAAATGTCTCCTGTTTTCGGTCTAAAATAGGTTCTGTGCTGAACACGCCGCCAAAGAGCAGCAGGCTAATGCCGTTTCTTCCAGGGAATGCTGCGCTGGCTTCCGCTGCAAGGCGATTCATGGACGCAAAAAAAAAAAACCTCCAGCAACGCCCTGCTTAAGAATAGGACACTGTGTGCCCATGTCACGGCAAAATTAACCACCAAGTCATGTTGCCCAAAATAAAACAAGGCCTCTTTTGTCAACATGCGATGCCCGGCCTCCACGCCGCTTACACTGCGTGAATATGCATACAGTAACAATAATGTTGAACTTACAAAGATGTGGTGTAAATGTTGAGGATTTTTTTCGACATCGGATATTATTTCGCGACACCTAATAATGTACAAAACATATACAATTCAATATATATGTGCACACACAGATTGGTGATATTGGGAATCCATAATAGTTATGCTAATAGTTAAAGAAATAATATGTAGACAGCAGTTAGAACTCGGCTGATAAAACTATACACACATACTGAACATTGTGAGAGATTTTAATGTGCAGCAGATTGTTAGCGAGCACCTATTAAAGGCCGGTACGGCACACACACGTGCGAGTGCGTGGTTTGCGGCTAGCGCCACGCTCGGCCGCCTTTGTCTCCCCATTGCGGGACGTTTACACGCCACACTGAGTGTACTCATTCACATCCGGGTCAACGTTGCGGGAAACACGGCATCCATTTTCAAACGACGACACGTGGCACCGGCGTTATCCGTGGCCAGCAATATAACCCATGTCGCTGGGCTCAGAGGGCAGTGCACAAAACCACTGCACCATGCGCTACCGAAGCAATAATGCAGCGAATGTAATTACCGGACAGTACATAAAACATGAAGCATTCGAAACACAGAAGAGCAAATTATGATGAAACTGCGTTCCGTGTATTGCCGCATTAGTACAGAGGCCCGGAGAGTTACATTTGAATGCAATTCACCTTTGGGTTCAGGTCAAAGAAGCTGTAGTACTTAAACCGGAGCATCAAGATGTCATTGTCCTTGATGCCTTGCTCCATGAGAGACCTCGACGAGTCCAGCCAACTGCACGCCCAACACACAAGTTCAGGGAAAACGACGGAGGCGGCTGTGAAAGTAACTCCCCCTGACCTCTGTGGAGGTCTTCTAAACCGGAGGGGGTGGGGATTTGTTGATAAAAGACGTACAGTGCTTAACAAGCACTAGCTGTGAGCAACCAAAGTACATTTAATTATCGGTGTGTGTACAAGTGCGGTTTTTATATATACCAAGATGGCCCGTAACTGTATTTTGTTTAAATCTGTTTAAAAATAGTTTCAATATTTACGTTGAAATAGTTTTCCCTTATGTACGTCAACTATTTACTGCATGGAATTTCTAATACTTCTTTGTTGCGGTGGACTTACATTCTTTTTTTACAAGGTACCCATCGATAAAGGGACTTATCTCTATTAAATATCGCCGGGTTAAAAATAAATTCTATATCACTCTCCTTTTGTAAGCAGGCTTGAATAAAATACGAATTCTACTAGTTAGAGCAGCAACACAACAGTTGAAACTCACAAACAAAATTGACTTTCAGGTGTTGTTACTTTAGAAACCATGCAGTTGTAAACCACGAGATTGACACTGACATTTAATTCCAAATTTTCCATCCGGATTTCTGCCATAAGCCGAATTTGCTTTTTTGTGAAATCGAGTCATGGGTGAAATGCGAGGAGTACTTCAAAAGAAAACGACAATAGGTGTGTTCAGTTATCCAATCTCCCTGGGAAAAAAGCTCTGAAGTGTGAAATGGCGAGAAAACACACACACACACGGGGCATTCCGCTTCTCCTCCGCTATCAGATTATGTCACTGGCAGTATCAGGTCCCCAAAGCACGGCTGCTGCACGACATTAAAGCCACGCTAAGCGCGCAGAATTCAGAGAAACCGAAAGCATTGTAATTAACGTAGTGGTACATCAAACATTTATTATGACCAAGTTCAAAGGCTGGACAACACCGCGGCAAAACAAAAAATGACCCGCGAATCAAGCTCGCAGAAGGACAGCATTCCGCAAAGGACGGACACAAGATGGCACGTCTAACGTTCACAAGCGCGTCATGGCGTGTCTGGAAAAAACAGACGACATGACTAACTACGACCCACGATGTTGAGTCTTCGTAATCGCACCTGCTCACCTCGCCCATTGTTTGACTCCCCCACACACCCACATCAATTCTACTCCGGTGACTATGGCGATGGTGAATATGGCGATGGTGAATATGGCGATGGTGAACATGATGACGATGACGTGCCTTCCCCTCATCATAGCCCTGCCACCTCACTCCCCCCATGAGTCACGGGCTCCTTCTCATCCCAGCACCCCGCTCCCTGCAGCCGACCCTTCCTCCATCGGCGCGCTCTACACAGTCGGATGGCAAATCTATTACAAATGATGTGGAACTTCTTTCGAAACCGGATAAAGTCAACCGTGCTAATCTGTCGGTCTCTATGGGTCTGGGTGTATGTGGGTCTCTGTGTCGATATGTACGTAGAACTTATTTTGCGCCGTGCATAGCCAACTGTGCTAATTGAAAGGTGCGGGGGAAGGACAACAAAACTAAACATAAAAAGCATTCAATCGAGGTTATTTAAAAGTGCGTAGCTCCAATGACTTCTGAATATCACCACTGCACAACACATGCACACGTGCCGTCGTTTTAAAATATTCCGTTATTTCGTAAAACTAATTGGCACGCGTGATTCCATTAACTTGAACAATGCCTCCTGGTTCAATTCTTAATGAGGATGCCTGCAAAAGCTCAATGTGGTAATTGGTCATCGATTGCCTGTGGCCAAATTCGCTCTGTAGAGAGAGCACAGCCTCATCGCATTTTAGAAGCTAAACAGGGCTGAGCTGGGTTTGGACTTGGCCGAGAGGCCGCATGGAACTGCGCAGTGGCCAGGAGATGACAGCACGGAAATGGATTCTTGAATCTATCTGTGCGGCACTTTGAGTGTTACCCTCAATACGCTTCCTTCTGCAAGTCAAAACACTCATCAATGGGAATGTCCAAGAGGTCCCAATATGGGAAACCATCCTGAAGATGAGTCTTAAAAAACTTAGTGAGGCTTTATTCTGTATATAAAAAGGCATTATTATAATTATGTTTTGGACATCGTACTCCATTCAATGATAGGGAAATACAACTTTGCTGTGAAATGAGTGTACTTGCCTCTGAAGCATATGAGAGGCCAAATGTCTTTATGAATGAGAACGCTACACAATGGTTATTTTGGAGTGGAGAATCCGAGACGTCATCACCCCCACTCACTTCCTCTCTACCATTTCTCTGCCTCCTACACGCACGCTCTATCAACCTCCTTCCTTCATCCCTGCTTCACATCTGTCTTCCCCCGTCGCTGCTGCTACCACCCACTCCACCACATGCTGTCATCTCTCTCAGCCACTTCCTACCACAAAGACCAATTCAAAACCACAGAAGAAACAGCTGCAACAGCAGCAGGAAGAGCGGCAACAGTCAACAACAGTAGTAGTAGTAGCAGCAGCAGCGATAATAGCAGAAGCAGAATTTGCAGCAATAGAAACAGCAACAATAGTAGCCACAACAGCAGAAAAATCATCACCATCATAACCAGCAGCATCGTCATCATCGGCAGAAAACTCATGATCCTCCGTATCATGAGCAACGGTACCATTTGCAGCAGCAGCATCATCAGCTGCTGCAGCAGCAGCAGCAACATCATCAGCAACGGCAGTTTCATCAGCATCATTAGCAGCAACGGAATCAATCGTCAGCATCATCATAAGGGGGTGGGGGGGCATCGTTTGCAGGAGCGCTGGGCCTCACCCGCCATTGATGCGCGCCTTGTCGAGCAGCGTCTGCGGCCGGTACATGCGCGCCAGCACCTCGGGCGACGTGTTGGGCAGCGCGGCGGCCAGCGCGCTGGGGTTGCCCTCGGCGAGCGGGGAGTCGCCGAACCAGGCCGTGGTGGGCGACAGGGGGCTGCCGTCGCGGGCGTCGTACGTGGGCGTCATGGTCTTGCTGTACCAGCCGGGGCTGGAGAAGGGTCCGCCTGCGTGGCGGGGGACGGAGAGGGCGATGGATTTGAAATGGCGCGAGCCGCCAGCCCTTCCCCGTTGTTCGGACGCTGAGGGCGCATTCGGCGTTTGGGGCGATTGGCTCCTAATGCCACTGTCGGTGAGATTTGGCGAATAGTCGCGGTTTGGGGCATCCATCTGATTCGATCATTTATCGGCTTTGTTTCTCTTTTTTCTGTCAGTTGCACTTTTGCTTACACCCATGAGCTTAAATGTCACATTGCAGTGTCACCTGCATATACTGTACGCAAAAATACATGCATGTACCTTGACCGTTGAAGAGATCAATATTACGCAGAACATGAATTCATCGCTGCATGCCTGGTAGCCAAATAGGCTAAACAGTCGACCCTTTACTTATAGGGAAACCTGGGTTTAATGGAGTACAAATATCAATGATGAGGTGGGGCCAAGCAGCAGCTGAAGCGCCTCTGTACAGCCCTGTCAGACCCCATGAGCTGTTACTGCTCAGACACTGGGGGCTTGGTTCCGATTAGCCGGCCGTGGACACACGAGGCTATCAAGTGCAGCGAGATCCTGTGTCTCAGCCACATAGAAAACACGGCAAACGTCACACGTAACGGCAATCAAAACAGTTGTTTCAATAGATTTGTCATCCGAATGCGATACGAGGCTGTTGCTGGCCGGGGTTAAGTGACCGGGCACTAAGCGCGCAACTATGATGAAACTGGGATGTAAGTAATAACAGAAAGTAAAAAAAAAAGTAATTTATAAAATAAACATTGTAGAGCTGGGACATATCGCAATGCAGCTCTAGTTGCAAATCACTACAGAGCGGCTTCAGATTCATATTGCGGCAGTTTAGTTGTGTCGCTGTGCGGCAGGAGACTCGAAGGTGCTCAAAAACCGCTCGGAAACAACGCACATTTTTAAAACTGGCGAAATGTGGGGATGTCGGTGATCGCACATTCCAAGGAGCAGAAACCGTCACGCAAACTGAGGTCATCCTCGCAGCAGCGGCCCTTGGTGAATCATCGAATAAAGACGGTCACTGCATCGCGCACTATCTGCGGCCGTCTGGAACGCTCCTCCTTCCGATGTTAGGAAGCCACTGCAGCTATGCACTTTAAAAATCATCTAGATTTTAAACTCATTTATTTGGGAGTGCCTTTCGTGTTTAGTTTGTTGTCCTTCCCCCGCACCTCTGATGAGCACGGTTGGGCTATGTACAGTGCGAAAGAAGTTCAACAAACATACACATACACAGTAGAAAGCATCTCGAGTGCAACCACTGGAGAGCAGTCAGTCATGAACAAGGCCCCTTCATTGGCAGCACGGGCTGTATTGATGACACAATTAGTGAATCGTGGTAAAATCAAAACGACTGGAGGTGAAATTTAACGGGGAGTTTTTGTTTTTTTCCGGCGACAGAGGTGATGAGGGCACGTCAATCTCAAGGGTTTAACATCGAGTTAATTCATTAGTCACGCATGCACACTTCGATTTCAAACTGCTGCATCAAGCGCACAAAACATAAAAAAGCATAACCATTGAAATTCTGCGGTTCACTTCCTCGAGTGTGGATTCATTTTTAGGAGAGGAGAAAATAGGATGACGGCAATATTAAGTGGAACATGACGGTGCAAAGTGCATGTTTGTGCATTTCTATGTGGTTTAGCCCCTACTGGACATCTATGAAAGAGAGTTGCATAGTTCATCAGATTTCTCCAGGAAAAATAAAAATGTGGAAAAAAATACAGATTATAACGTGCTATAACATTTCGTTATAATAATTAACAGCTGGATGAAGGGCTCCCCAAGCTTTTGCAATCGCTATCCTGATCCTGCCATGTCAGAACTCATTGGGCTCACGTGCTGCGCGAGTTGATCTCCATCGTTCACTTTCCATGGCGGCTGTCCTCTCGGGCCCGTTCCAGCACTGGTTTCAACCTTGCGCTAGAGATTTGTTCCGCCCAAGCACACTTACTTTCATCAACAGCAACAGGTCTTCAATGCGTGCTTGTACTGCGATCTATGAGAGTCTCTTTGGATCGCTCATGTAAACATTCCCAGCCTGCATCTGTCCATGCGCCTTTGCTTACTTTCGAGATTTCTGTTCAATGTCCTTGTTTCTGGTTGTGATGTCGTCACAGACAATATGCAAATATTTAAAATGTTATTCTTTGGTCATATTGTAATTTTGCTTTTCATAATTAGATTACATTTAGCTAACACACTCAACCTTGCTCTTGCTTGCCTATTTATTTAATTACATTGATCGCGATCCACCTTCAATAATTGACAGACACAATACAACAATTGTGTGCCACCCCAAACGATTACATCCGTCCATTTTCATTTAATTTTCTTTGCTCACATTTATCCTTCGCTCAGCTTTGCAGGATTATTTTGTTATGGTCTTCAATCATTTTCCTTTAGTTAGTTACAATCAGTTGTTATAATGGCTGTGACGTTGACACATTTCAGATGGTTTATGTTTTTCCCATCCACCTTCACGCCCCACTCCTCTTCCGATTTGTATGTTGTAATTTTCTTCACGCAATCTCAGTGTAGCTGTTCAATGTGTTTGCATTTTTTTGGTATATTTCTACGTGTTTTTTTTATTTATTAAGGCCTTGGTTTGTGAGTGCTTGAATGACCGGCACCAGTTTATACTTATTAAATTTGAATCTGTGTGTTTTGGAAATGCTAAGCATAATGATAATTCATATTTGTCTTCCATATAATCCGATGGATTGTTGTCCTCTAAATTGATCATTATGCATCTCTCGCTGTGATATGAATTAACAACGTATTTATGTGCTATTACTTGTATATCCGTCTCATATTATTTCAAACATTTCATGTAAACTATATTTAACGTGGGAATAACGGTGGCACATCTGTTAACGCATTCCGCTCTGAACCTGGTGGCCCGCGCTCGATTCCTGGCCACGGATAACATCTACAGAGGTCCTGGGCACCCCCAACTTCACAAACCCGCACCAAAAAGCATGGTGAAGTATGCAGAATAAACCCCCAATACCTATGTAGAGTTAGAGAGGTCATCATCCAGCAGTGGATTGGCAAACAGCTGTGCATTATTTGATCATTTCAATCGTGACATTAAAAAAAAAGTCCTGTTATGCACAGCCGCATACCAATCCAGGACACCTATGTGAGAATTCAAACAGGTTTTGCTTTCTAAAGGATAAATATCAGCACAATGCATAACATTCCTAACTCACCTCAACTACTTTAGGCCAACAATAAAACATGCAGAGCAATAACCCTCAAGTGAGAAAAGTCCTTCAGATGCTATCGCAGTGCTAAAGAGCCCTTCCGAGTGTGCACGCTATTTTCTTTGCAATCTTGCGGAATGTTCGGGGTCACTTAGGGCGATCTGTAGATGCGTGTGCGTGCACGGGAATAACTGCTTAGTAAAAAAAACGAACAAAATACGCACACAAACACAAAGAACAATAAACGAGTACCAAAGCAAACAAGTAGCAGGAATGCACGGAGAGGTGAAAGGGTTGAGACAAAGCACATGATGCAGGAAAATAACACACACGAGAAACTTACCTCTCACCGGACCGATATAAAGAACATCTTTCTTGCTGTCTAAGAGAGGCAGAGATTATGGAAAGGAAGGAAAATTGAGAGAGGGAGGAAAAAAAGATTTAAATGGGAATGCAAGTAAGGTGATGGTGTCGCGCCTTTGACAAACTGTACCCGCGAGTTTGTGTTACACTCAACGAGAAGCTGAAAAGCTCAACGTGTTAACTGGAGGTGCACCAATCAATCGATTGATATAGACTATTAAGCCGAGTAAGAATGCGTAAGCATCGGTTATTTTTTCGATAACGCGCATGGCATGTTGTTTGTGGAGAGTTCACTAAAAGTGACGGCTACATTGGCCACAATTGTGACCTTGAATAAACGGATTGATTGGGCATTAAGAGGAGGTGGGGGGTTCAGAGTGGATCGGTACACATCTCGTTTTAATGGTATCACAAGAGTGCTACGCTCTGGATTTGTGAAAACAAGGCTAAAAATTTAAGCTTTAATTTAATCAAGATTTTTTTGTAAATCGCTTAGGGAATCTAATTACAGTTACGGTAAAGTACTTGAAATTCATAACTGGATCTAACGCGTTTAAATTGAGTATAAAAATAACTTCGGTGGAACACAAACAGAGACCATCGGAGTTGTCCAGATTTTAAAAGAGAATTTTGTAATGAGGTTATTATGGGCGGCAAAAAGGTGGACATTTTTTCCCATTTTAATACGTGTGGTTTAATAAAGTAACAAGGTGAAGAGGAAAAGAAATCCCACCAACACTGATGAAGTGGGGCAAATAATCAATTAAATTAAATAAGTTATAAAATTGCACGTGAGAAAATAAAAGAGTGCTCTATGAAAAATAAACCCATTTCCTTATTTTTTGAACATCACGGTCCATGGTTATTCCAATAGTCAAATGAAAAAAATATCACCAAGAATGCAGACTTTATGTAAAAAAAAAATACTTCAGAAAACCACCCTCAGCCGCAACTGACAAACAAGGCCAAACAAGGCAAAGGGCAGGAGGTTTAGTCAGACACTGCCCCCCCTCCTCCTCCAACCTCTCGTCGCCACCACCCCTCCTCCTCCTCTTCCTCTCTCCACCCCCCCCCCCCCCCCCCCCCCCGGTCATCCCACGCAAAAGTCCAACCAGGAGCTCCCAAACGTGCACCACACAGTCGGGTACTGTAAGGTCACACACAGGAAGCGCCCCCCCCCCCCCGCGCGCTGCCTGTGTGTCAGAGACACGGGGCCAGATTCACAATTACGTTCGGGATTTCATCATGAAGCAGCGCTGCTCGCGGTACAAGACGTCCCGAAAAACCTCGTAACGACGAGAGCACACGGACGGGCAAATAAAAAGCGCGCGTACGCACGCGGAGCTCGGGGAAGGCACGGGATGTCTCAGAGCGCTAGCCTTCGGTAAAAAGTGTCCGGAAAAATCTGACGCAGGGCCAAGCGTTTTTTTTTGCCCATATTCGGGGAAGCTGTTGTTAAACGACTCCGCGGTGGAATGGGACGCGAGGCGGACTCGTGTTTACTGCCTATTTGGGCGCGATCTTGGCACTTCGGCTTCAAGGACCGTTGCCATTTTTTTCACCGCGGGGCACAGTGGACACAGGCCGCTGATGCCGCTGCTGCTGCTGCTGCTGCCGCTGCAGTTCCCCTGCGCCAGAGTTCGTTTCCTTCCTGAGCAGAAATCCTCCTCCCTGGGTCCCAAGGAGACTTGGAATGGCCGCGCCGTGGCGGTGGGGGCTGCCAAGGACAATGGGGACCGTCGTCCGAGCTCGTTTTCGAATGCCGCTTTTGTTTTTGCAGCTTTTTTTTTTTTACACGCATTCGGCTCGAAACTTTCATAATCCTATAAATTACTCGTGAAGTTGTAATCTTCGCACTCGTATTCCGCGTGCGGCATTTTACACTAACTTTCCCAGGGGCTAATCGGAAATGCCAAGCCCTTTAGAAAAAAAATCAAGAAAATAAACAAGTTGGTTAACGGAGTGCTGGAGCGGCTGCGCCCTAGAAGTAAAGCATTTATGGAACCTACTGCTGGATTTCAGATTTTTAAGTGGCACAGAAAAAAAACACCCATCGGTAAACGTGAAGCACCTAAAAACCAGGTGATGTTACTCCCTCACACAAGCTATATTTGCACATGCCTGTCAAGCCAGATATTACGTAAGCTGAAGTACAAGATTCCAAGTAACTGCGAAACTCTCCCCACCCAAGTAGGGCCTCCTTTATGTAAACACTGCTCTTTACCTGGGCAAACCTACACAAGATAAGGCTCAAGGAGGTGTAATGTGTCCCCTGCCACAGCTCGGGCATTTTAACCACATTTAAGCCATTGGGTAAATAAAAATGAAACAACGGTCTAGGGGTGACAGTTAAACTAATTCGCACGGAACAGGCTGGGATGTGTGTTTTATTGGCCCGGGGAAATCTGCACGAGTGGAAATGTCGACAATTGTGGTTGAACAGAGTAATAAGTCTCTGCTTATCAAGTTGGTCTTGTTATGTTTAAGGGATGTCATTAATAACGGCTCCACCCAAAAGTACACTGGGACAGTTTGTCAAGTAACCAATCGGCTGTTTGCTTATCTGTCCAAACCATTTTTAAACATCAATTAAAATGTTCACGAGCAGAGCTGGGTCTGTGTTCGAGCCCGTTCTAAACTTACTGATGAAACACAAACTCAGCCGTTGCCCATGAAATTCCACACACAACTATCAGAATTTTCACCACCACCACCACCATCATCATCATTCGTCATGTATGACTGATATAAACGTCAGCATTCTTCAAATAAACAAATACATGTACTTAAAAAAGAAAACATTAATTGGCTTTTAATTTAACCGGAACAGAAACATGTACTCTAAAATACACCCACGAAAATGAGACATCATATGCAAAATTTAAGTGTGTAATTTTCTTGCAATAATCTTGCGAGCAACTCCATAGTTTGATCCAGCATGGCTGAATTCTGATCCAGCATGGCTGATGTATGGCAGCTCGTCGTAGATGTTTGGCAAGAACACGGAAGTCATGGATTCAAGCTGCCTTTGAATATTTGTTTTCTTATTATTGCATGTTTATATGTAAAACGCAATTACTGGCTGGATTGAGTCTCTTGGTCGTTATGGCAATCCGCTCGCATATGGCCGAATAGTTTCGTTATGTGTATGACGGCTTGGAAATGTTTGACAAGATAATTTAATTAAACCTTCTTGATCAAGGGAAGCAACACATTCGCCATATTTATTTTTTAAATTGTATTATTTCAATCTCATTTACTAATCTACAATGCCTGCAATTTATTGCTATTAATTATTACTATTAGTCATAGGCCAAGTTGGCCCCTTTCCTTGCCCGAATTCTTTGCTGGCCACCCTGGGCAGGACCACCTCGGTGAGAGGGGGGGTAGGAATTGAGCCTCCACATCCAGCACACCCCTACACCCCCCTCTACCCGGAGCTTATTTTATAAAGAGACATGGGCTGTGATTGCAACTCGGTAAAAGTCCACGTTGCAAAATAAAAGCGACACATCTGCAGTGGTCGACACGGAATGTTGCTCAACATTTGAAGAATGAGGCAAAGTTACACCCGAGAAAATTGCACCTATTCTTTATCAGTTCAGATGACATCTACACCTCACCCAAACATGGCAACTTACCAAGAGGGCCCCCCCCCCGCCCCCGCTTTCCATGAAACTGTCGAGCCAGCCTCCTGCTTAGTCACACGACGAGTCACTCATGAGTCATGCAAGCAGCACCAAGGGGCCCTTGGTAGGGGTGGAGGTGATGGCACATGGGCCACCTAGGACGACCGAAGGCCATAGCACCGAGGGGGCAGGGGGAGTCTATCACCCCCTTCCGACCCCCTTAACTTAGCAGACTCAGGGAGGCACACTTGAGCCTCCACTAGAAACCCCTATAGAAACTCTGGCAGAAGCCAAATGTATTCATTCGAAGAGTAAACATACGTGCGAATAACAGCACGGGTGTATATAACCAAGTCACCTCTTGCCCTATCCCCTCGGCTACAGTGCCTCCACGATCGCAGTACAGTAATTGCCACTGGCTCACTCCTCAAAACCCATTCTCCCCGCCCACCGATCCTGGTCTCGACGCCTTGTTAAACCCCTGGTCTCGACGCCTTGTTAAACCCCTGGTCTCGACGCCGTGTTAAACCCCTGGTCTCGACGCCTTGTTAAACCCCTGGTCTCGACGCCTTGTTAAACCCCTGTTTGTCAAAAGGTGGCACACACCACTGTTGAGCTGCACTCACCGGGGCTGGCCGTGGGCGTGATGAGGGGACCCTCCAACTCCGTCACTTCCTCGTGGTTGTTCTCCTCTCCGCCCTTTTTCTTCTTCTTTTTGGAGGAATCCTGAGGCTTCCTGATGAGGGACAGTTCTTCCGGGTGGCGGATGTCTAAAGAACAAAAAAAAACGGGGAAAAATGATCACCTCAATATCATTGGGGGAAATAACTCGTACACATTTCTATTGTCTTCCGTGTTCTTTACAATTTGGTTCCAATTGCACTCTAGGCAAAATGTCATGAGATTAATAAATTCAGAATTCTCACAGCGTGGTATATCCCCCCCACGCCCCCTGTTTACAAAACAGGAAAAGGCTAGTATCACAGAGCCACTATTGAAATCCCTTGGAGTGACCTCTAACTCATAAAAGGGCTGCTGCACTCTCCAACCCAACCTGCCGGAAAGATATTCATCGCACGGCAGTCAGTCCAAGATTTGTCAATTCTCAAAGTTGGCATTTTTGGCAAGTTAAGTGATGGCCAAATTTGACAAACGTTTTTGTATTCGTATGCAGTCATTGGTGACCGGGCCGACACCATCAACGTGCTACTACACTCGAGAGCCCAGGGTAATCAATGGCAGCTGCCTGGACTCAACCCAAGATGTCAGTGGTGTCAGCTCAGTTCTTTGACCTCCCCACCCCACTCATTTTTTTTATAACTTTTCCTTGTCCAGACTTGCATCTCATTTCATGCTCCTGGTGATGCTTGAAGGCAATTGTGATAACGAGTCTGCTGTCTTGTTACCTCTCTAGCCCTTCTCATGCACAATGGTGGACTGCTATGATATGAAATGTTATGGGAAAAATATTCGGGTTGGCGTGCTTTTAACTTCTAAAATCACCTTAAAGCAAACAAGTTTGATTTTTTTATTTTACCAATTCGTGCATCACGATAGGGTTAAGTTGGACGTTAAGTCGGTATGCTTGCAAATATTAAATGAAAGAGCCACTTATTCTTCACAAACCCTTTTAAGACCACAGTTAAGCTACAATTAATCACCCACAATAAATACAAAATCAATCTCGTACAATAAAACATTACCCCTCACACCGCGGATAATGGACTCTATGGGTTTACCCTGCGCACTTTTATTCATCACCTACGCAGCCGCAATGAAATGTTTCGGGGGAGATTTATTACCTAAACTAGAAGATTATTAATGCACATAAAACTGCATGCGTTTCATGTTTAGATTCTTCACGAAGGGTTACTGAAATAAACGCTTGTTCTAATTTAATTAAATTCCTGTTAACGTCAGCATTATACTTTAAAAAGCATGTTTACTTTCATCTTTTTTGCAAAGCAATGTTTAGTTTACATTGTATCTTGTCTCCCCCACCCTCCCCATGGATCAAGTCGAGTCTTCAGACTCGGTTCCGCTACTTCATAATTTCGGGTGTGAAAATGACGATTAGTAACAGGTCCTCCCACATTGCGTTAAACTACTCTCCATTGTTAACCGTCTTTCAGAATTAAAATAAATATCCGAGTTATTTGAGCAGAGCACACGGATTCAGTTTCAGTCGTGTAATTTTTTTGTTTCTCTCACGGGAAGATACTTATATATGCTGTTGGAAACTTCATACCTGTATCATCTATATATTATCCACAAAGTGAAGGTTTATGTAGTTGTGACATAACAGAAATTCAAATCGCTTGTAGTTGTTTTTAAAATCATGGTCTCGAAACCGCAATTTTTAAAGCACCAGTTATACATGGCTCCCTCGCTTTGTTGAAATATTTGACAGTCTACTTTGTTTATTAATGTATTGTAATGTACGTATGTTTTAATAATTTTATTGAATACAAATATTGGCAAATATGCAAAACACGTTTTAAGGAACTAGCCAAGCATTGGAAATACCAAAGTCTTGAGGCTCCTGGATAAATAAATGTATATTAATCTTTACTGTTGGCCACCCGCTCCTCTGCCCACAAAGATTAACATTTAAGATATTTGGTCTTCATTGACATATCCCTTTTACTCGCACAATAATCCAGAAGGTTCCCTTCGGACAGCTTTATGTTGGAATATCATCATCAGCCAAGATCCATCCACTGCTGTATGAAAGCTTTCCCAAGTCATCACCGCCACCGAGTCACATGATGCAAAGCATCTATTTACATCCTGCAAAGGTAAGTCATTGCTCCATACCACGGTGGTCATCCTGTGTCCATCAGCAATCATCTCTTACATTGGCACGTGTCCTGCCCATTTACTTTCATAAAGAGTCAATATGAAGTCTGTAAATTGTGTGTTGTGTCCTTTGATTGTGTGTTCCTCTTTCTGAGTGTAAAAAAATTTCCAAGCAACGGAACATGGGTACAAAAAAAATACTAAATTTTTATCCAAGCATTAAAAATACCAAAGTCTTGAGGCTCCTGGATAAATAAATAAATAAATAGATATTTCGCCGGCCCTGACGGTGAGAAGGCCCAGGACAGGTTTGGATGTCACTCTCGACTCACATTAACCATGGTCGAGAAATAAAAATCGGTTGGTTACGTTCACAGCAGTGCACTAACCGACTGCTCACCCAATACATTTACCTGCATTCCATAAATATCTTTGCAAAACAAATTACACGAAAAAATCCAAAGCTGTGTATTTATTTCCATGCTTTGAGGTTTCTCAGTACATACGGTGAGAAAAAATAAATATACCTATATTAAAAGTATAGGGAAAAAACTTCCCCGTACATATGAACATACATATACCGCATATATAAAAATAATGCAAACTATAATTTAACTGTCAACCACTTTGTGAAGGATTAACTTTCCAGCAAAACTATGTAACCAGATTATGGGTTTCACCAGAATGGAGGTTTGTTATTACCGGGACGTACACAGCCTACGGATTAGCAGCTGCACCCCCCCCCGCCATTCTCTTTGCGAGTGCCGTCTGCCACTCATCACACAGTTATCCAGCAAGTATGCTAGACCTTGCGTTGCAGAGGCGGGTGGGATGCTTTCCTGTCTGTCGTGTTGGCACATCAAGTCTATGTGGAAATCTCCTTCCAAATAAATCAAAGCGATTTCCTGGTCAAATGAGCAGTGAGATGATCCTCATCTCCCGTTATATGCACTATGTATGTAGAACTTATTTCGCACCATACGTAGCCAACTATGCTAATCGAAGGTGCTGACCGTGCCCCTGATCCAGTGAAGGAAAATCTACATTCCTATGTTGGGGACGAGTCTATCCACAGCACAACCACTGTTGGCTTCGCCACAAAGTGACAACTCATTTGACAACCCAAGACGGACGATGGGCTAAGTCGGACCCCCCAACCAGGATTTGAACGCGCAACCTTCTCATTGCGAGCCGCTACATCCTTCTACCGAGCCACCAAAACGGTGATCTCCTCTGCTGCAACCAGTGGACAATTACCAATAGCCCACGGTGCACGACTGCGGTCACAAATCTCACCGCCCGTGGAACCGCATTTAGCCCGCCACTGCCCATGTCACTGGCAGCATTTCCCACGTTTCATCAGACTGCCCCACGAGAGCCCGTCCACGGGCTCGCTAGCCAACCCTCGGCGCGAACGTACGAACGTTGCCGGATCGACTCCCTGCCATGAGAACGAATAGGAAACCCCAGCTGCCTGCCCAGAGCTTGGGTCATCGCGTGCCTGGCCTGGCCTGGGCTAAACAAGGCGCTCGTGAACTCTTGTTCTGTTTTTATTTTCCACGCCACGCAGCAAAGAGTGAGGAGAGGGAGAAACGTAAACAACCGGGGTGAGCCAGGTGCACTTTCGACACGTTTGAACAGCAATAGCCCAGCTGCCCGCACATTTACGATAATTGCTTATGGCTCGAAGGTTTCCTCTTAAATTGCACTTTAAAGGTCTCCACACTAATACACTTTAAAAGGTGAACTTTCTTATCTCTAACCTGCGGGAGGTAATGTTCAGCAAGTTCGTTGCATGTTATTGCCGTTGTTTTTCTAATGTGTTGTGCATAACTCTGCGAGTGTCGTAACAACTTTGCCCGTTTTTGTAATGGGTTCAGATGTCCCCAAGCATCTTCCGGCAACAGGGTAATGAGTGGCACTAATTATCGCTTTTCGGAAGTGTCCATGTCCATGTGACATCAAAACAGCGATAACCCCAAACAGACCATCATCAGCCTTCTTTACTGAAGGCCTCCCCCCAAGCCATCACTGTCTCCCACTGTCCAGCGATGCAACAAACCATCGAGCTCCTCCTGCACTCAAGCTCATATCAAGGGCGCCATGGTGGCGAGATGTTAACTACCTCGCTTGGTGTACACAGGAGGTCATGGGTTCAATCCCGACCCTGACGCCTGCTGTATATTTGGAGTTTGCATGTCTCTCTCCCCGTGGTTGCGTGTGGATTTTTCTCCAGGTCCTCCGGTCTTTCCCTCCACATTTAGAATTGTGCTTTCAGAGTATTTGAATGCTATACATTTCCACATGATACGCCCCATCCCTTGAGCTATCATATGTGGCCAGGTCGTTTCTGAAAAAGAGCTAAATAGCTCAGTGGGCCTCATCTGGTAACTTAAAATATCGTTTACATGTTAAGTTTATTTCATTGCTCCACCTTTGTGGCGGATATCCCTCTTGGACATGCTCACTCCTTTGGTTGCCACACTGTCATTAGTCATGACTCATGGCCATCATCCACTTTAGCGACGCATCCTGCCAAGCGTACTTTTCTTAAATGGCGAACGCGACGTCTCCAACTTGCATTTGCTCTCCGAATCGTGCGTTTTCACTTTACGTGTCTCAGTGCGATTCAAAACATGTGTCCCTCCATGACTCAATACGCACTTTTAAACTCTCGTTTCTTTTTGCTTCAGTGTCCTTGTTTCTGATCCAAATGTCATTGTACGTAACATGCACCGAATATAAACGTTCCTTTTTTTAGGTCTGTGGCATGTTGCTTTTCATTATCAAGTAAAATTTCCCAAAATAATTCCAAGCTGCTCTCTTCTGCCTCTATTACCTTACTTTGGATGCCTTTTTATGATCGAGAGTATTGTGAAAATGAACGGGACAAGTAGATTAAAAAACTATGCCTTTTTATTTGCCCAGGAAAGCCACGATGATCACCGAGTATTCAAGAAACTCAAAAAAGGTCCATAATTGGGATGTTTGGCTAATGCCATTCATGAATATTTGTCTCCGTGGCAAGAAACTGCAAGTGCCCAGAGAAAAGCCACGCATACAATTAGGGGATAACACTCAACGCTACGCACCGATAGACTCAATAATCTATCGTTGTGCTGACATCTTCTGGCCTACCTTGCAGCCCCAAAGCCACACAAACACATGGAAATCACAGGCAGCCTCCCAACCACCTGCTAACCAGACTCAACCCTGGTTAAGCTTCCGCCCATACCAGCTCGGGCACATTCACGACTGGTCGTTGTCAAAGACGGTCCTGCTGTCAGACATCGCGAAAGCCATCAGACAACACATCTCCATCGAGGAGTCGGTACTTGTTCCCGGCTGAGAAATAGGAAATCCCCGACTGCAAGCTAATTAGATGTTTAAACCAACGCACGAAACAGTCTGGGAGTCCCGGCGACTGACGTCATGCAAACGGAGGCAATCGGCAATACAATGGCCATATTAGGAGCATACTCTTAGTCGTTGCGAGCCGTGCTAGCTCAGTGTTTACCGCGAGGCCGTTTAAAATAGGCGTGAGGTAAGCAGAGCGGCACGCTGGACAGAGTTTAAAAATGCCCTGTTCGCGGCTAATTAAAATGGCTGCAGCTCAGCAGGGCAGGTGTCAATTTCCACGCGGCGTTATTTAAATCTCACGGCGTGTGCGAACGCGTGTGCACGTGCATCCGTGACACGCCGCGTATCACAGCCCAAAGCTCCCACTGTGGGAGCCCCGACTCGGGATCAGAATTATTTATTCATCCTGGAGGAATCCGATGAGCTATAAAGCTCTTTTTCACAGATGCCCAGTAAGGGCACGTGGTAAGAACGCTACAACAACAAACAATACAAAAACACGACAGCAGTGCAAAGTATAGCAAAAGGCAAACAAATCGCCCGAAAACAAACAAATAAAACCAAACCATCCACATCCTACCAGGCAAAGCCTGCCGGAGGTATTTTGCAGAAGCGACCTGGCCACAAACGAGAGCTCAACAACAAAGCGCCTCTTCACGTGGAAATTTATAGCGGCAAAATAATAAATCAAATAAATGCGACTAACAGAATGAGAGAGCCGCGATGGTCCGATATCGACTTGGCTTGGGTGATTAAAATGAAAACGACGGTGGAAACAAACACCGTCAACGGCGATTAAATGACAGGGAAACGTAGGTATTGGTTACAACTGCTGAGGTGGCTGCAGGGGTTAAGCTTCAGTCACATTTAGACCAGAAGCAAAGTTACACTTTTTATGGGTTCGTGATATGTAGACAGTGGAAAAGTTGCTTTCGTTAACCCGGTCCAGAGACGGAGTCAGACGCAGGCTACAAAGCGTCACTGCCCAGTGCATTAGTATAATGCATTTGTTTACAAGTCGAGTTATAAACCAAACCAAGTTCCCTTTTTGGGAATTGTCTCGCGTGGGTCTGTGTGTGTCACCGCTGAGAGTGTTGGCGGTGGCACGATAGTGAGTGTACAGCAGTGTGAATGCACGGAGATCCGAGTTTGATTCCTGGTCACAGCTGCCAAATGTGAACCGGTCTGGGGCAACCCCCTTCACCAGTACGCACTGACCAGCATGGTGAAGTATGGCCAAACAAACTCCCGTGACCGACGCAGCATGAGGAGGCCTTCATCCATTAGTGGATGGACAAACGGCTGTAAAATATATGCTAACTTATGTCAATGCTAAGCGTTTAAATTGTGTCGGTCCGCTGAACAATAATCCAACCTACTTAGACAACAAAACCTTCCGAGTGAGATTATTGCATTTATATGAACCGGTATATTTTTTCCCAAGTTTTTTGCGGAACATTTCTTCATTTTCACACTTTATGGAATGCCTCGTGCTTAGCGGCAATCCTTCCATATTTTTCTTCCGCACAAGCAAATATATTTTTTTATGTTAACGAGTGGCAGGCAGAGGATTTGTAAACTCTAACAGTCCACTTAATTGACTGGTTTGTCGAACTTATTTCTACTAAACTAAAAAATAAAATCACACCAGCAAAAAGTTTGGCTGTCAGGTTGTCAAATGCTCTTTACATTAACGTACTACCACCTCTCATCGTCCGATTACAAGCGCAATCTAATCTTATTAAAAGTGAATACTCGAGAAATCCATCGAGAAGAAATCCTGGACAGTTCCTGCTCGTAAAAGGTAATTCGATCCGAAATGAAGAGGGGCTTTTCTAATCAGCTCCAAGTGCTGCCGCTCAAAAGCAATGGATTCCAGAAAACCCAGCAGCGTCTGGAGTCTAATAAGGACCGGCGCTATTTTCAAGCTGCGCTCGGGCACAAAGCATGCACAGCAGGTGGGGTCATGTGACACGGCCTTTAACCTTTGGCAGCTTGGCGTGTGCAACTCCAACAGTTGAACACATTCAAATAAGAAATGGCCTCTGGCTCCAGAGCAAATACGCAGCTTTCTCGGTTCACATCCATATCAACACGTACATGTAATGCGTAAACAAATACCTAGGATTGATTATTGAACATACACAAATGAACAACAGACCTTTTCTTGAATTTGCTGCACTGTATTTCTGGTCTCCCTGTACGTATGAACTTATTTAGCACAGTACGTAGCCAACCGTGCTAATCAGAGGTGTGAGGGAAGGACACCCTATTCCTGGCTAAAGGGATAGTGTGTCTCAGTGGGCCCCAACCAAGTCATGCATTAACAAACAATAATTGAATTGCCATCAGCAGGAACAAACAGATTCAATACCAGTTATTCCAAGAAAATCGATGTTTCCCTTGTGTTTTTCGTGAGCAGCAAACATAATTTAAATTCTACTCCCATACATCATAATGCTTTGAATGTACAGCATGGGGCATTTTAACATGGGGCACACGGACAGCCTTTACATCCGATTTAATACTGCTCAATGTAACAAATACAACAAAGATGTGTGACCATCAAGGAGCATAAACCATCACGTGAACTCCAGTCATCCTCGCAGCGGCTTTTGGCTAGCCATTGAATAAAGATGGTCACCGCATTGCACGCTTTCAGATGCACTTCTGCGGCCATCTGGAACGCACTTCCTTTCGATATTAGGAAGCTACTGGAGGTATGCACTTATTTCTTTCAAAATGCTTTGTGTTTAGTTTGTCGTCCTCCGTTTAGCATGGTTGGCTACGTACGGTGCGAAATAAGTTCAATGTACATACATATGTAAAGGAACCTGCGTCTCTGTTTTTCCATGGCACCTTCCCATATAGCCACACCTTTTCATTGTACAAGTAATACCCATGGGAATGCAAGAGGCACGGAAGAGGTGTTCCATCCGATTTTGCCAACAACAAAATGCTGCCCACATCGACTCATGCCACGTTTCCGTGACGACTAGCGAGTGCCATCGGTGGCCGAGGAATGTTCCTGGGCCGTTTTGGGATCATCAGCACAACTCACATATTGTCCCCACACTCCATTAGCCAGACAGCCACCACTGCTCCATCTCCCAAGCCTTCCATTCCCCACCCTCCATGCTGGATAGCGATTGCGAAAAAAATAAACGTATGCCTGGGTTAGAATAGACGACTTTTAGTACAAACTTACTCTGTTGATTTTTCCATGCATTTTAAGATTGGCACAAGACTGAAGTCGACCTAAAATTATGGACACTGTTGAGCACTCATTGACCCTATGACATCACGACTTCCCAGTTAAAAGCATGCGGCTCACTTTTAAAAGGAAGCCAACCCACTCCAATGACAGGGCCCGCTTGTCTATGGCAATCTAGACAGAGGCCGCTCGGCCCTCTCCACCGTTACTGTTAAATCTAAACTGAAAACTCACTTCTTTAGAAACACTTTTTGTGTTCAGCTTCTTGTCCTTCATCCCGCACCTCCCGGATTCGCACAGTTGGTTACGTACGGTGCGAAACAGGTTCAACATGCGTGCATGCGTGCGTGCGTACATCACGACAAAAACGCGGCACGACGGGAAGAGCAACCGCGGCCCTTACTGAACGTCTTGCAGATGTCCACGACGGCCTTGAAGACGAGGTCGGAGAAGTTGACCTTGACGCGCACGTACTTCATGCTCGGGAGCTGCAGGCGCATGAGCTTGTGCTGCGGGGTGAAGTGCAGCGTGGCGTCCGCCTGTATGCCGTACTTGTCCAGCGTCCAGTGCGTCTTGAGCAGCCACGTGGTTTTGCGCTCCCACCAGAGCGCGTGGTCCGACCAGTCCTTCTTCATCTCTGTTCACGGTAGGGGCAACAAAAGGGGGAGCCATCGTCGGCACACAGGATCAGGTACGGACACCTCCCGATCGGCCCTATCGACGGCATAATGAACAGCACATGAAGTCTGTTCCTCTGTGTAAAATAAAAAAAAATATTATACCCTATTCTTCCGATTACAAGATGCTCTGGGAAGTAATATGCACCCCCAAACGTGTTCTCGGTTTCATTAAAGTTGTACAAATCTGGTCACTAGGTGATGAGATGCACCCCAAAACTTTCGCTCTAAAATGCAGAGGTGGGGGGGGGATGGAGAGTGTGTTTTATAATCTGGAGAGTATGGTGTATTTATAGAGGGATATATTATTATATCAGCCTTTGGGAATTCTGAACCAATGCTTTCCAGCTGCAACTGTTTAAGCAGCAAACTCTGGGGCTGGGTTTGTCAGAGTCTCATCGGCATTCAGTCTCGTAGATTACCGAGCTCTTAACCCGAGTGAGGTATGGAAGAAGGTCAGATGGTCATGCACGAGAGGCTTCCCGGTAGGGGGGTGGGGTGAGATTGGCTGGTGTCAGCGTGGGAGCAGTGCGGGGTCGGGTTGGGGCGGGTGGGGGCGAGGGGGGAGTGTGCGCCTGTAATTAAGTAGTTCCACGTAGCTGATTGGTCGGCTTCCAGGTGAGTGGCGGGGTTGTTGTACGAGCTATCTCAGTCATTATTGAATAGATTTGAGAAATTGGTAATGCGCGAGGTTTTTGCAAGGTCAACATGAGACCGTGAGGAATGCTCCAAATCGTGAAATTCATGCCCAATGAATGACGTTTGAGAGCTTTCAGACTAGAAGGTAAAGTGCTGTTAGCGAGTACCTATTCAAGGCCAGAGTGCCAGTGGTTATCATCACCAATGTCGAAACACCTTTGTTTGCTCATTGCCGACGTTCTTACAGTGTGCCAGGAACTCATTTTAGGCTGGGTTGACTTAAAGTAGGCCCACGGCAGGCTCAATTGCCACGCGCCACTGATGTAGGCATGTGGGCCAAGAATCAAAACCAGGTCTCCAGGACAACAGCACAAGGCACTAACCATCACACAACCACTCGCTATCAGTTTCATGTGTACACCACACCACAAAACATACCAAGGAATTTAACATTTTGTGGTCATACTTCACCATGCAGGTCATTGCAATGTGAGTGAAGTGGCCGGGTAAACCGTAAGCAGTTCAGAACTTGCTCGTGGCCGAGAATTAAACTCATGCCACCTGGGTTCACGGTGCAGTGCGCTAACCGTTGAACAGTGGTTTTGACAAATGCGTCTAAGAGTCAATTCCCTTATCATTCGCTTTCCATCAATGGACCTTTCCATCATTGCATCAATGAATCTGTTAAGATAACAGAACATCAAGCAATGGAAAATCAGCATCTGACACGTTACTGAAAAAGTTCAAATATTAATTATCGGTAATTTTTCTTAAACTTCAGGTAAGGCAACTTTGAGCAATGACTTTTTGAATAAAACATGACAAACCGTTGGCACAGATGACGGTTAACTCCAGAAGCCACATTCATTATTTAAATCTTTAAAAGCATATGGCCTCCGCGCACTAACATTTGCGAGAAAAAATATTCCACTGTCAATTTGTTTCATGCGCTGCCAACTTCACAGAAGCTAAAGCGAAGCGAGCGAGTGACCGACCAAGCGAACACGGACGCCAAGTACCAAGATGAGGCAGGGAGGCAGCTCATCATCGTCTGCCGTTATCTATCCACTGGTGGTTGAGGGCCTCCCACAAGCCGCCACCGTTATCTCACCATCTCGTGATGCAACAACAATCCATCCAACTCCTGCACACGAGCTGACCTCAACGCTCCCAAAATCCGTGGTGGTCATCCTTTCAGGCGTATTCCCTTCTTTGGCTGCCACACCGTAGATAGCCTCGGCCTCCAGGCCATCATCCCTTCAAAGTGATAGGTCCTGCCCAAGCCCAATTACCTTTCTTAACAGTGAATATGACGTCTCTAACTTTCGTATGTTCTTTGATACTTGGGTTCCTCTTTACATCCCGCGGTGTAATGCCAGGCATGCGGCTCTCCGTGATAGTTTGCACGCTATTCAGCTCTCGTCTTATTTTCCTTGTCAACGTTCATGTTTACGATTCGTATGTCGTAGGCAGGGAGGCGGCTAGAGCGAGAGGATGAACTAAGTTGCGTCAACAACACAAAATAAAGTTGGAGGACTGAACATTGTAATCTGCCAAGCATGCTTCCAAGCCATGATGTCACTGCATTCCATAATTCCTCAAAGCACGCAGCACATGTTGGCGTGGGTGGTATCCCTGAGGACACCACGGGTTTTGACTCCTGTGCGTGACACACCGAGACTGCCTGCCACCACCAAAATGAGCATTCCTGGGACATCGGACATTTCTGCACATGGATGGAATTTGTTCACAGTTTTCACTTCAAAGATTCCTGATTAGGTACCCGTGTTGTCTTACACCAGACAAGGACAAGCTGATGAAGGCTGGAGTTAGAGCACATACATTTATAGTTCAACTTCACGCATTCACCATCGGCCATCAACTCTCCACCGTTGATTGAAGCCTTCCCAAAAACCATGCCTCCCAATCACGAGGCACAACAGTGCAACGACCTCCTGCATACGAGCTGATCTCGTCACTCCATCTCCGTGGCCAATGTCCTCTCGCAGGAGTTCTCTCCTTTGGCTGCAATTCATTCGGTGGTGCACTGGACATCATCCATTCCAGCGACATGAGCTGGCCAAAAGCCCATTTAATGTTATTCTCCGTCAAAACGTTGCCCCGAACTTGTGTTTTCTTCTACGATCAATGTGCGGCTATTTCCGTCTCTCTCAGTGTTGCATCCATGTACTCCACAATGCGACCAATTTCAATAAAAGCACACAAACCGCCGGCCGTATTTAGCTGGTCTTTTAAAAAGGAGCAGTGAACCTTCCGTTATAAACACACGCATCATCCACCACCACTGCACATCTTCGTCTTCCTGGCATTATTCACCACTCATGGACAGTCAGTCCATGGACCAGAGCACCAATTGGTGCCCACGCAAATTTGCAAAACGGCCGATGGCAGCGGATCGTTTGGCGGCCCACTCGTTACGAACGGTTACCAAAACCACGATTCACCAACTCAAACAAGACGCAAAAAACGCACGCAGCCATCGCGCATGCGCAAAACGCCATCAGCATTTCCCGAAGGCGTTTGTTTGAAACGCACGGCTTTCCTGCATGCAACTATTGTTTCTGTACTCTTTGGTTCTTTCGGTAAAGTCACGTGGTAGGTATAAAATAAATTAAATCACGACGTTTCGGGCGCAACACAAGCGTCCGTCATCAGGTGGGACAACCACAGCAAGAAACAAAGTGGACAAAAGGGCTGCCGTGACAAGAGGCTATATAGGTAAGAGAGGGGGGAGGAGCCAGGGAGGAGAGATAGAGAGGGGGGGGGGGTATTTGACATAATTCACCGTTGTCTGGCAACACTAAGAAAATTCTTCCCACTAAATTTACATCACCCCAGGCGGTCACCGACAAGTGAAATATCTGGTCTAGAGCTCATGGAGTGCGGAGGATCTGCCTTCTTGAACCTCTTTCTCCACTCATTTATGTCCAAGAGCACCTCATCAACTTCACAGTCCTTCACATCCACAGCTCGCTACTTCATGGTAACAAATGTCCCGGCTCACCAAATTTTAATCATTTCCCATTCCGATGATGTACATAGATGTCATTGGAACGGAATCGGAAGAAAAACGAAAATAAAATCACTTTATCAGTACGTCTTCAAGTTGGAAGATGTACCGCGGCTCCCACAAGGCCATGTGGGAGGGTGTGTGGCACAATTTTGCGCCAGCTATCATAGTGCGGTCGTGTTGCTACAGTTCTCCGCGGTGAGCACAATGTTTTTAAAAACAACGACGCTATGTCTCTAAATAAAAATGAACGCTAACTGCTTGCGCATTCCGAGATTCAGCGGTGAGCGGGACACCCACCCTGCAACTTTCAGACGTCTCGGAACAGGAAAGGGTCAACAGCCTTTCCTAGGCCTGCCTCCTTGGTCTCGGCCCTGGTGCTTCCATGGTTTAGCGTCGTCCCTGCGAAGCGATTTTCCTCTCTTCAGCCATTCTAGTCGACTTTCTTTCAGCTTATCTGAGATTCGGTGCCTCTCTTTCCTTTGACTTTAGCCACACAAATTATATCAGCATTAACCCCGCAAACAAGAGTACAAACCCATCCGATTATTTCTCTTTCCGCCGCATCTTCATGCAGATAAGGTGGTGGGAATTGCGTGGATCAACGGAAATAATTGTTTTGGCCAAGAGCAGCTCCCATATGAGCCGATTAGAGACGTTTTAATGCATTCAAAAGTTCCAATTGTTACCATCAAACATTTTTTAAATTATATACTGGATTAAATTTTGATTTAAACCTTTTGTGACTGCAGGGATTCATATTCTTAATAACATTCTCACAGCGTTTCCACTTGCTGTGGTTTTCACACCTGATGATGATTGCTTGTGTTGCAGTCTAAACGTCGTGAGAATTTTGATTTTTATATTTTTATTATTTTATTGTTTCCCTTCTACGTGACTTTACCGAAAGAACCAAGTATATATATACACTGGATTGTTAACTTTTATTGATGAGACAATAAGTTACGAAGCCATACTATAAACATTATTAAGTCTTCAGAATGTACTGTACAGCCCTTTGTTAATCCACTGCTGGACTATGGCCTCCTCAAGACCCGGGTGGGTTATGGGGGTTTATTTGGCCATACTTCACCGCACAGTTTAGTGCAGATTGGTGAAGTCATTTAGAATAACTCAATTGGAAATTAACTGCATGACGAATAAAAACTCGTAGCAAATACCTCAACACTGTACAGTGTGTACAGTTGTGTGTTTAGTAGGACGCCAACAATCGGAGAAACGCCGGACCACATCTCCTCGTCTCGTCGCGCACAAAGAAGATGAATTAGTTGACACGGTGTGACGCCGAGCACTGGACAAACAGTTTCCTTGCGAGCCAGAATAGCGGGCCGGGACCCTGCCATCTGACATCAATGACCATCAAAGAGTTGTGTTTTTTTTTACAGAACCCCACAGCCTCTTCAAACCTTCCCCGAGCTCCCCCCAAAGTTGAACGCAGATGCAACACATTTTTAAATTTGAAAATAATTACTGTACTGGAAAGGTCCTTCGGCGTATGAATAGGTCATTTGTTCAGTGCGTGGCAGTCACGTGGCGAGGAACTTGTGAAGATAAACGAGAACCTGATGATAGGGCGATAAAAACATAGGTGAGAATGTTTTGACGATCACTGGGCGTTCCGAAAAGACTTTGGAGAAAAGTGATCGTCATCGGAATCTTCCGCGACGATTCCATTTTTCCGGAGCCCGCGTGATCACCGCTTTGTCCAGCCTCAGGAGGAGTAGCGACTCAATGAAGCCGACTGATTAAAGCAGTGGGGTTTTCTCATCGATGATCCAGCACTCACTGGTTTCACTCTGGTGGCTCACTCAGCGGCGGTCAGTCGCCTCCTGGATCACTCTTCTGTCGCTTCTGCCATGGTTACCATTTTCATCAACGTCAAGCTCTTACAACATTGCGTCCTTGCCCAATGTAATAAAGCTAGTTAACTTTTAGATTTTACACGTTTAAAAGGGCTGGTTGTTTTTAACGGCTTGGCGTTTGGGGCCTGTGCTCAAGAACCCTCAATTTAAAAAATCTAAGTTGAGTAACTATTTTCCAAAAATATTATTGTTTCTCTTCAATGGAATCATGTGCTTGTTTTTTTTTGCAGGAAATGGACCCCAATTATAACGATCTTTGATTGGACAGAATCCATCATGTGCAGCTTCATTTACCTTAAAACTAAATGCATTTCATTGACCAAACATCAAGGACATGCACCGTGTTATCCTGTTTGGGTTGGCAATCAGGAAAATATTTCCGCACCCTGCACACCATGTCCATCATAAAACCATCGCTTTAACTGTGGCTGACAGTGTCACATGCCTACTCCAGTTTTACAGTGACCCAAAACAAAATATTTAGTGAGCAATTTAGAAAATATGCAGCGAAAAATAAACTTCCATCATACCAATTTTCCATGTAACCTATATTTGAATACAAGTCACTTAGGTGTATAAAAAATGTGAACTAAGACACCCAGTAAATGATGCTTCGCGTGGTACGGAATACCAACATGACTTTTGTGCAATGACATATTACGATTGATAACATCGGTCGATTAGGGACTGAATTCAACTCGGCTGGTCTGTATCACAACAAGGCCCGTAATCAAGCTTCGACTTAAAACACGTGACTTGCCAATCGGTGACTCGGGGGACACAATAATTTGTTTTTTTATCAACGACGACGCTCCCATCATTAAGCGTGTCACCAACACCAGCCTCGTACAGCAGCCGCGTCGCAGGACCTGGGGCCACGTGGCACGCTTCTTGGGGCAAACACCAAAACCAAAACCACGGGGCAAACACCAAAACCACGGCACGAAGCAGCGTCACGCAGGTCCCAAGCGAGCGCTGCCATTCGGTCAACGGGAAACATCGTGGACGCCAAAAGCTCTCCGTCCGTTTATCCCGCTCGTTTACGTTTTCAACAAAGGCACGCTTGTTTTGCGTCATGGCTCCAACGTAGGTGAAAGGGGAAAAAAAAGTGTCAACGTTTACCTTGGCAATTCAGTTTTAGCAAGGTATGTGTGCCGGTTTCATTTGTGTAAAAGCTTTGCCACAATGGCGTTCAAAGGAAACGGGCTTAACATAGGCTTTACGTTAGAAGCCCACGTTTCGCTGGCTGCAATCTTCACTCTGTTCCACTAATACTCGTGACTGTCCAATACCGAGGGGAGTGAAACTCACCACATCTGCACCACAGTGCTGAGAGCAAGTATAGTACTGTACAGCGGGTACGCTACAGCGCATTAAACACTTAGTGGCAGTCAGAGCCATTCGAGGTCACGTATTAACGGCCGAGGGCCTTGCTTTTTTTTTACAATGTAACCTTTTCCATGTTTGTTTTTTATGACGCTTTAACTTATTTGATTAACCTATACCAGTTTAAACACATTACCGTAAAGAGTGAGTTGGGGGGGAGGGGGGAAATCGCAATTTACGGTGCTTAATTTTCAAAACTGGGCCACACAAGTGACACTTGTTCCAAAAATCGTGCGCCCATCAGTGGCAATCAATTGCATAACGCATGCCACAGATGTTTACAGCAGCCCACGCCGGCCTCCCGCAACAGCCGTTCCACTGTTCCCAAGCGAGCGCCACTCGCGCCCACAGTTCCCGCCCTAAGAAAAAAAAATATCTTTTCCAAGCCACTTTTATAAACGGTTCGAGAGCACTAGAATGTTTCCATTGTGTCCCCTGTAACACGGGGCCCAACACAGCCGTGCAAGCGCTGGCAGAATGCGAAGCGCGCAACACTAGGAGTGACATATCAGGCATGCCGCGCGGCTATCTCCCAGAAGACACTCTCGTACAGGCACTCGCATGGGGCAGTGCCTGTACGAGCGGGACCGGCATGTGAATGCTTGGCGTTTGTCCGAGCGAGCCAGCTGCTGCAGCGTTGGTCAGGCAAGCGTCAGATGTGCGCGAATTGTTGTCTAGGCCTGTGACGACGTATTGATTCATTGATCGGGAATACATTTTTCACGCTTGCGAAACACTCATCGGTTGACTCGTGCACACGGGAATCAGTTATTTAAGATGTATGCGAATTATGTGAAACATGATTAAGCTCACGTTACGCTCAGGCTAATAAAGCAAACTAAAGCGCACAAATGGGATAGGATATTTTTTTCAAAACCATACAAATAAGATTAAAAAAAGAAATGCCCAACGGGGTTTTTTTTTTTACCATTCTTGAATTGAATCGAATCACGAAGCAGCACCGTAACATGCACGCTGGAGGACATGTACCTCCAGCGTTGATGATCAAAGCGATACTATAATAGCGAGACATGTTTAAAGGGCATCATCCCTTGTACATTGCCAAATGCAGTGTCACGAAATGAACATCTACACATTGAGCGAGCAGAACTTTAGAGTGCATTATTAATTAATTATAGTACACCGTATAAACACAAGATGCTCAAGGTTCCATTGGCGTCTCCTGGCCCCTGACAGCAGCTTGCTAATGGCCCTCAAGAACATAGCACGCTGAGAAACCTTGAGCATGAACAACGAATGAATGAATGAATGAAACGATTACATCAACCGCAAAACAATGTGCACTCTGCAGGCTCGACCACAAACATGTCTGGGGTATATAACTATGTGACCGAGCATGGATGTGGGGCTACTAATGTCACGGACAATTGCACACTACCTGCTAGGACCGAGCGGCCACTGTGTGACCTTCAGCTAGGATTGACAAATGAGCCGTGTGCGTCACGTGCTCTGCGAATCGCTCCGACGGGTGAACGTGGCGCAGACCCACGGTGAAGATGTGCCAATGCGCTGCTTTTAAAGCGTCGACAAATCGCGACAGAAAACGTCACCGTTAAAATGTGACGACGCAAGATGTAAGTGGCAGCTGAGATGTTGAAATTACGGTAGCTGGAGAGGGATATAAACATTGTCGGTCTCAAGCATGGGAATAGTTCACTATAGGTGCACCACCACGGCAACATTCCTGTCATGCGGGGAGGGACCCAGGTTTTGCTTTCACGTTATTATAATCATATTGCTCGGAAGCATCCTTGATGTGTCTGGCATAGACACTAAGTGCTTGGGTCATGTGTTGGTACGAAGGATGTTTCCACCAAAAACCATGCAGACAAATGGCCAAATTGCCACCATTTGCTGCTAATTTGGTTCTAATTCCACTGGAAATTTGGTGGGCATTGCCTTTCTGCCAACACATTAATTTAGCACTTCGTGTGTCTCGGCAGTATGGATGAATAAAGATTATCTTTAATCATCCATACTGCTGAAATTATTAAGCTTGGGGTTCTTGTCCTACGACCAAAGTGAGAACCTCCTTTGGATATACTCAGCCTAAAATAGTGAGCCATGGCACAAGCCACTCACATGCATCAAGGATTAATCATAATATAATTTACTTACTGGGTTTATAATTCATTTCTTTGCTCGAATAAGTGCTGTTCTATCAATTTTTTTTTTAAATCAATGATTGATAAAAGTGTGGACGTCCTTCCATAACGTGATCAAACCCGTGAACAGGACAATAATATAAGCGGTCTTTATATATTGTGACAAAAATGCATTTCGAACGCAATTAACACATTCTAAGTCAAAATAAGCAACGCATGACAAATGCAACAAAGGGAACTTCTGTAAAAAAAAACTGCCTAAATCACAGCATAGAACTACGTTACTTGTGGCTGTTAGAGACGCACTTTTGTTTTGGAAAACTGAAAGTCACTCAAATAAATTGAACAAATGTTGAATCGAATAAGCATTTATTTCACATACTTCTTAATGGACACCTAGCAAACTAACGGACACTCGTGACTGCAGAACTCGAGCTCCAAACACAAATAATAAACTAGATGGGATGATGAGTCAATAAATCCAACTAGTGGATGAGAAATAATCATCCGATATTTATTTTGTAGTCGATTGCTCCAGCTTCTTTGAAAATGGCAGCCACCACTACAAGCCAAATCAAGCGTGACTGGGTGGGGGATACAGATGATGTCATCAAGCCCCGCCCATCACCTCCCGTCCAGCAACACACATGGGGGCAGAGGTGATTTACACCCACCAACTACTGTATTTCCATGTTATCCGACGAGTCGTCCAATCGAACGGATAATAATCGGTATAGGCAACCGATTGCTTAAATATCCCAAAAGCCCATCCCTAACCCCAAACACGGGGCAATGACGGCCGACTTGCACGACGCCGACGTACCCAGACGCTCCACCAGCCGCAGCATCACTCCGCCGATGTGCAGCTCCCCCGTGACGCGCATCATCACCTCCTGCTGCAGGTCCGTCACCAGGATGCGCAGTTCCCACGTGCCGTCTGCATAGTGCCCGTCCGGCATGCGTATGCCCTCAATCGCTGGCTGCGTCATTCCTGATGCTGCTGCTGCTGATGCTGCTGCTGCAAAAGGGAAGGGCAGAACAAGTTACGCTCAGCAACGACGATCGGTCCCCGATGTTTCGCGGTTGCTCTGAATTCAACCACGTCGGCTGCGGTCATGCGTCGCTGTCAAAAACCTCCCTTGCCCCTGTTCAAGTTCAGGCTCAGAGTTGGCAAACCCCCCCCCCCCCCCTCACTGCCTATGGACCGACTGCCTCTTTCTCACCGTGAAATAAACGCGTGGTGTTTCTGCACAGAGTGTTGAGATGCAGTCGCTGCTTGTTTAAGAAGCTCTGTAAATTCATACTGTAGAGTATAGTGCAGGTCTGCGAGAGGCACACTGAATAGTATTAATAATGTCACGTGCTGTTGTCACACTGCCCCGTCCAAGGCTGCCCATTGTTCTTTGCATGCGCGGTAGGCACGTGTTACATGCGTGTTACATGCGTCAAGGTGAATTGCATGGGTTAGTAATTCATTGTGCTTCGGTGGTCTCTGCAAGGCAGCTTGGGTACAAATTAACATCTCGACAGTCTCCTCTCCTCGCTACCCTGGCATTCGCTTTGGATAACGGTAAAACAATTTCTAGAGTGGACTTCCTGTAAAATCATCATCCATCTCCCTTCCCACAATGTTTTGCTCAGTAGGGTAGGGGTTTTTTTTCGCTAACAATAGAATATCGCCCGCAGATAAAACAATGACAAACACAAGGTAGCCCCCTCAATGCCAAAGAAGGTTGTATAACAAAAAAGTGTGCAACATTATGTACAGTATTTTATAACAATGCATGTGGGTATGTATGTTGAACTTATTTCGTATCGTACGTAGCCAACCGTGCTTATCGGAGGTGCGGGGGAAGGACAAACTTAAAAAAAAATATACACGTAATAATGAGCACACTCAGACTTGCCAGCCAAATCAAAGCGTTAATTCGCGAATCTTTTACAAATTCGAAAAAAAACCCCAGCAGGGCTACGGGTTAACAACCACACACACACCACATTAACATGCTTCGCTCGGAACGCGATTTATCCGTGGGAAAACGACTGCCGCTAAAACTCCGAAACCACCGTGGGTCAAACGTTGTTGCTGAAAGGATGTTTTGAGTACAGCACCACCTTGTTCCTGACCAAGCTAAATCAACCACACACGCAATCACTCACGCACGTGTGTTATCTATGTATGCACGTGTACTCAAAAGTAGAGAATACCAAGAAACCATCCTGCCATTCACAATTCACCTACACAAATCGAAGTAGCACCCCCCCCCCCAACCAACCTCCCCCTTCTTGCAAACGGAGTTTTTTGTGTTCAGTTAATTAGGTAGAAGGTTTTTGGCAAGCTCGACTTTTATGCCACAATGGGCGTTTAATCCCCCCCACCCCGCACATCCTTCCTCTGCCGGGCATGTGCTTGGGCCAGAATGTGTACACGTGGCTACGTTCGAGGCAACCCACTCCTTGGTGCGTCCCAACGTTTGGGAAAGACACATGCAGCGAAAGCAGCCGCTGGATTATTCCGAAAGCACGTGCAAACCGTGCACCACCCCAAGAGAAACACACACACACCTATTCACACAAAGATAAACGTGCGATGGGGGGAGGGTGAGAGCCTTGTGCAAATATTATTTTATCAACCGCATTCAATTATTTCCTTGCCGTCCGAAAACATCGCAACTCCACTCGGCTCTTCTTTCGCTCGCTGTCTGCTCCAAACACACACACACACAAACCCTGCACTTCACGAAATGGCTGCAGGGGCCTCGGCCCTGCCGTTGTGCGTCAAAGCCACCAGCAAACATCATCATCATCACGGCGGATCGAAAAAGCCACCCTCGGGAGCTGAGAAGCATCACAATCGAGGCGCACCTCTTTGCAGGGCACAACAGTGATGTTACGCCGAAAGGAAGAAAAAAGAAACAGTTCCAGGCGCCAATCCAATCCGCCAAGCACCCGCACGCAACAATTGCTATCGACTCCGAACGGGGCACTTGTCCATTTAACTCCGCGTAAAGTGAACGCCACAACTCGCGAAGTAACTTTTTGAGATGACACAACCATACAATGGCTTCGCAGCTCAATACTTGTTTTTATTTAACTGGGGTTCGTAAGACCGCAAGATTCATCACACACACACACATGTTTTGGCTAATCATATCCACCCAAAAATGTAATTCGCTCACCAAAAGTGGCTAAAACAAAACTCACCGGAGGGCTTCGAAGAACACAAAATTGACTTCAACTTTCACCGCACGGCCGTTCCCGTCCCAACTGCTGCTGCGTATCCGTCTCGGGCGGAATGCGCCTGTGCTGTTGGAGGAGCAGAGAGCGAAATGGCACTGATGATGATGACTTTGCTTGCGTCTCCTCCTCCTCTCTCTCTTTCTCTCTCCGCTGCGTTTGCTCCCGTTCCGCTAAACTGCGGGTACAGTCGGGAGTGTAGGCGCTGCTCAGCTCCTCTCTCCTCCCCTCCTCTTCTCTCTTCCACACACGCACACAAAGGGGGTTGGGTTGGAGGCGAGGGGAGGTGGTTTTAGCTGCGGCGGTGGTGGTGGTGTGTGCCTTGTGTGCTACGCTCGGGTAAAAAAAAGGGGTAGGGGAGTGGGGGACCGCCAATGCTGTTGGTCATACGAGCTACACACACAGAGACAGCCTCGGCCACCTCCCCCGACTCACCCACTCACTCACACACGCGCGCGCGCATTAACCCCACCGCGCACACTCACGGGCCAGCAGTAGTGGAGGGAGGGGGATCAGCGTGGGAGTGTCTCCCTCTCTCGCTCTCTGCAGCCCCGGCTCGCTGGCTCCCTGGGGGTGATTGGAGGAGTGGGGCAAATGAATTCACACACGCGAACGTCAGGAGCTGTTGTGTGGATGGGGGTGGTGCGCGTGGTGTGTGTGTGTGAGTTTTATTGAATGCGGTGGCGCGGTGGTTAGCGCACTGCGCTATGAACCCCGGCGCCTTGAGTTCGATTCCCGCTCACGACCAATAACAGCGGCGAATAGCAGAACCAGTTCTGTGCCACCCCTAGGTCAACTCGGCCTTAAATGAGTGCACGGTGCGCTGTGTAAACATCGGTACTGGGAGACAAAGGCGGATCGGGCGTGGTGTTGGAAACTCAACCCCTGCATGCCGTGCCGGCCTTCATAGGTGCTCGCTAACAGCACTTGGCCCCAATAGTTTGTTAAAGGCTCTAAGGTGATCATCTTTGTCCTTGTTTTGTGAAATTGAGGAGCGGTGGTGCAGTGGTCAGCGCACTGCGCCACGTCACTAGAGACCCGAGATCGCTTTCCGGCTACGACCAACGCGAGTGAGGAATGTCTGAACCGATGTTGCGTCTCCACCCCCTAGGTTGACTCAGTCTTAAATGAGTATCTGGTGCGGTGTGAAGCCATCATCCACTCGGAAGACAAAGGTGGCCGGGTGTGGCTCTGACCATACCGCCCCCTCGTGCGCACTGCTGGCAAGCAGCACTTGCCCCAACTGTGTGTGTAGGCTACACGGGGGATCTTTGTTTTTGTATCTGCTGCACGTGTTCGGGTGCACACTGCGAAACGACCAGATGGACTCAGTTATATCCCAGATTAGCAACGAATGTCGGAATTTCACATTCAGTGTTGCGCTGCAGTTAATGTGATATTAAGCTTTGATTTATAACGTTGCAATATTTTTTGCTCTATTTTCCATTCCCCGTGTGACACGGTGTTTTATTTTGGTATCCGGTTGCTCTACTTCGTTGCTCTACTTGGCGTTTATGTTTCTTTGTTTTTTTTGTCATTTTGGAGACCAACTTTACTCTTGCAAACGACACTCGCCCTGGCCTCTTGAGTTAAAACAAAATACGCCTGATGTTAAGGAAATTACAACAACAACAAATTGTAATTGGGTACAAAGCCAAATTAAGGTCGTATGTAGCCTCTCGAAGCGCTGGGTATGAACGCACAATGCCTGTGGCACGTGGGGAGCGGTGCGGCGGTGAGTGCACTGCGATACAAAGCACGGTGACTTCAGTCGAACTTTCGGCCCACGGGGACCATTAATGGCGAGTGGTGGTCGTGGCTCATCCTTGAGCTTCCCCCAGGTTGTCGTCTCAGTCGTAAACGAGGAGGCGAGAGGCGTGATGTCTCCATACATTGGCACGGGGGGGGAGACAAAGGCGTTCTGGCGTGGGTGCCGAGTCTGCTGACGACGCCACCCACCGTTGCGCGCGCCGTGCCGCCCTTAATAGGTGCTTGCTAACAACGCTTGCCCCAACAGTCTGTCAGACAATGAACCGATGATCTCCTGTAGTTCTGGGTGAGGATGAGGGAGTGCGGTCTGGTGAGCGAAGGGAAACGAGTGGGGGGAGGAGATCTCCGTGTCTCCCGTGTTTGTGTTGTTACAGCTCACGTCCACGACTGACACCGCTCAAGCATTTGGAACGCTTCGTGGAAACAGTGAACTCACGTGCGTAAGGGTCCCCCCTAAGTACTCCAATAGATTTTTCCATGGATGTGCTGCTCACCGATTGGGGAGACGGTGGGGGGGTGGAATATCGCTACCTTCATACTGACTTGAGCCACGCACTCCACGGGGAGCAAATGACTCTGGATTCACTGATGGAGGTCGCGTATCACAACACGAGAATGAGAGCAATGTAAAACTTCAGTCTGAGCCTGTTCAAATAGGAAAAAAAGCGTAGTTTTGAGTGGCCCACGTTGTAAAAATGTTGGTTTTACGATTTTTATATTGTTGCCAATTTTCGACTTTCGAGGCTTTCTTGAACATCTTTAGAATGTACGATCGTCTCTGGAAGTCATATGCGTTGGTATACAGTGTTTACAATTGTTTTCATTATATGTCTCGGAGTTATGATTTGGCATGATATTTGCTATACATTCACCCTGGATGTGTTAACATTCCCACGTCTTCCTCGCCTCGCCTATGCAGTATTACCGCTCGTCAAACCTGGATTAACTCAGTCAAGCATTTACACATCGCCCCTCCACACTACGTGCGCATGCCATGAAGTTGTTAACTCGGGAAACAAACAAAGGGAGAAAAAACGTGCATATGCATGGTTTTCTTGAATGCGTTCCAGCATGAGTTTTGCCCTGCAGAAAGTAGTCGATTCGTTCAGAATAATAATGGTAGCTTTCGCGCTAGGCGCTCAGTTCGAGGTAGTTAATGTCTCACCAAGATGCCGAGATGTTAGCCACCTCGCCTGGTATGCAAGAGGTCGTGGGTTCGATCCCGACCCCGACCCTGACGCTGGCTGTATATTTGGAGTCTGCGTGTCTCTCTCCCCGTGGTCGCGTGGTTTTTCCTCCGGCACCTCCGGTTTTTCCTTCCACATTTAGAATCAACACGCGTTTAGAGTATTTGGCTGCTACACATTTCCTCCCGATGAGCCACTTCGCTGAGCTATCATTTGTAATAGCCAAGTCGCTTCTGAAAAAAAGCTTTAATGCACAGTAGACTTTACCTGGTAAAATAAAATAATAAGTTTAGTTTAAGTACCCTTGGATGAATTTGGTCGGTTTCCTTTTGACGTTGTATTGCTATTGGATAATCTTTTCGAGAATTCTTGTTTATAGACAGACGGGCGGAGAGAATGCATTAGACCATTCATCTTCGTTGAAAGCGTAATAAAGACATTTGTCTCCCCCACAGTTGCGGAATCCGATGACGTGCCGTCCGCAGGATCCCCGAAGTGCTTATTTATTTTTCACCCACGATCAAACCAACCCTGAACGCGCCCCATCCCGTCTGATACTTGTAAGCTCCGCAGGGCTTGGGCCGGGTGAGTTCAGCACTTGTATGAGAGTCTGCCCTGGGACAATTAGTCATTGCTAGGTGAGCAGGAGATGGACAGTGCAGCAATAAACTACAAAATGCATCTGTGCAAAAATGTTGTACGTTTACCCCCTGGATCATACACCTGGGATTGCTTGGGTGACATATTATGATTACCTCTTACATTCCAAAAACGTATTAATGGCATTGGCCAAACATCCCAGTGCAACAGCATCATGAAAAAGGCGTTTTGAGACTCGTGAGGTTTTCCTGGGTCAATAAAGACAACGTTGTTACCTGCAGCATATCACTTTAGTAAAACTTATTTCATCCGCTCGCATTAATGATGCAAGGCTGCCCCCTAACGTGCAAATCGCGATAGTTTGCTTATGGGTTTTAACGTCACTAAAGATAGAGAACATTGCCGCCACGTGGTTGATTTGGAGAATTTCACATCAGGATCAGAATAATAACGTATACCAATTTGTCTTGTTCCTGGGTAGTGTTATTTCCGAATTGCCTCGAAAGTACAGAAAATGGATATTATTCCCCACAGACTTTGCTTTTGTGACCAGGACAGTGATATTTAGAAATTTACCTATTTTCCCGAACATTCCAGATGGATTCAGTGCTGGGTAAACTTGGAGTAACTTCTAGAACATTCTAGAACTTTCCAGCAATATAAATAGTAGTATAAATACAAGGGCCTTAGGCCCACCAGTTCAGTTTAGTTCCAGCTGCCTAAGTGGATACATATCTGCATTTTTCTGAGATGGCATCAAGAGGCTGCAAGCATCCGGCAGAAGCATGTTGCTATGTCTGCAGCCAATTTATCAAGACAAGAGCGACAAAGTACTCTGTGGAAGCATCTGCTAAGATGTTTGAGGTGTCTTCGTCTGACCACAGATAAAGAAGATCCTGGTTTGCAATGAATTCCCCAAGAAGCTCACTAGTAAGGAGAAAGCGGCTTGGAACAGCTTTGTCGCAGTAGTTCGTGGCTTCCTGGGCAATCACAAGGTCGAAAACTATGTGGAGCTGGTTGAGACTGTGGTGAAGAACTACAACACAATGGGCTGTAGGATGTCCCTCAAAGTCCATATCCTTGATGCTCATCTTGATAAATTCAAGGAGAACATGGAAGTCTACTCGGAGGAGCAAGGCGAGCGCTTCCCCCAGGATATACTGGACTTTGAACGCCACTACCAAGGAAAGTATAACGAGAACATGATGGGAGACTACATTTGGGGGCTGATTTGTGAAAGTGATTTACAGTATAATCGTAAATGTCGAAAAACTACTCACTTCTAAATCTTTTGTAGTAATTTTTGTATTTCTTTAGTATAAATACACAAATTCGCCCATTTTCTCATTTAAAATCGGTAAATTTCTAAATATTACTGTCTTGGTCACAAAAACAAAGTTTGTGGGGAATAATAGCATTTTCTATTCTTTTTAGGCATAAGCAATTACGAAATAACACTACCCAGGAACAAAAATTGTGTTACATAGTGTTATCATCATCATGCGCGGCCGTTGCTTGTCTTTTCACTGCTGGATGCCACAATCCATCTCACTCCTGCGCTTGAGCTGATCTTATCGCTCCATCTCCACGGCGATCACACTCGCGGGTGAGTTCCCTCCTTTGGCTGTCATTGTGTAACCAGTCTCGTCCATGGGTCATCTAGCGCCGCCGCGGCGAGATATTGAATAACTCGCCTGATATTCAGAAGGTCGTGTGGGTTCGATCCCGACCCTGACGCCTGTATATTTGGAGTTTGCATGTTCTCCTCCTGGTCGCGTGGATTTTTCTCCGGGTCCTCCGGTTTTTCCCTCCACATTCAGAAACGTGCGTTTAGAGTAGTTGGCTGCTATACATTTCCAGATGATAAGCCACTTCGTTGAGCTATTTATCATTCGTGGTCAGGTCGCTTCT